TGCAGACATACACATGCAGACAGACACGCGCAGGCAGACACATGCAGACAGACACATGCTGTCAGACGCGCATCCACATGCAGACAGACGCATGCAGACAGACGCATGCAGACAGGGACGCGCAGGCAGGCACGCGCAGGCAGACACATGCAGACAGACACATGCAGTCAGACGCGCATCCACATGCAGACACATGCAGACAGACAGACACAGGCTTTAATGGAACAGAAAATAAATGGCTTTGTATCTCCAGCCTTGCAAGTTTCCCGTCCCACCGCAGGATGGAGCTAAATATAACCGCAGGTATAGAGGAGGAAGCTTCATCGACTCTGAGCACTCCTCCTCTTCGTCCCACCGTGAGTCCTCTGCTCTCTCCAGCGGAGACCGCACCCTCCCCCCTGCTGGCAACACAGCGCCCTCCCCCCTGCTGGCAACACAGCGCCCTCCCCCCTGCTGGCAACACAGCGCCCTCCCCCCTGCTGGCAACACAGCGCCCTCCCCCCTCATGGCAACCCAGCGCCCTCCCCCCTCATGGCAACCCAGCACCCTCCCCCCTGCCGGCAACACAGCGCCCTCCCCCCTGCCGGCAACCCAGCGCCCTCCCCCCTGCCGGCAACCCAGCGCCCTCCCCCCAGCCGGCAACCCAGCGCCCTCCCCCCCTGCCGGCAACACAGCGCCCTCCCCCCCTGCCGGCAACACAGCGCCCTCCCCCCCTGCCGGCAACACAGCGCCCTCACCCAGTTGCCTGCAGACAGGCACATGCAGACAGGCACATGCAGACAGGCACATGCAGACAGGGACATGCAGACAGGGACATGCAGACAGGGACATGCAGACAGGCACATGCAGACAGGCACATGCAGACAGGCAACTGAGCTACACGGGACTACATGAATGGTTTGCTGAACACATATCGTGTGTCCATGCAGCAAACCATTCATGTAAGTTTGCGAGATCAGGGTGGCTCTCGAGGCTAATGAAAAGTGTGCTTTAATTTGATAATGGTGTCCCTGACTGGACAGGTTTAGGCCATCATTCTGTGCTTGGTTTTTATTCGTTACATTTTAGTCATTTAGCAGACGCTCCTATCCAGAGCGACTTGCAGTAGTGAGTGCATACATTTATCGTACTGGTGTGATCGTAGTTGATGTGATTGCTGTGACGGCTTGACACCAAACTATCCTCCGATCTGGCCTGTCATGTGGCCTGCCTGTTTTCTGCATATGGCATCACAGCAGCCAGTGAGCCTGCATCGGGACAGGAGTGGATTTGACTGGCACAAGGTCTGGGCTTAAACTACAGTGCTGACAGCAACCTTCCCTATCACATCCACTCAGTGTTTTCCCTATAGGTCGGTCATGCTGTCTCCCCTGGTGCCATGTGACCTAGATGGGCTGCTGAAGGGCAGGGTCCTAACTCCTGCCTGCCGATAGATGTTGGGAAGCCGCCTGCCGAGAGATTGATTGATTTATTCTGATGGAGTCGTTATAGGAGCAATACGGTCAAGATATTTATATCCCAACACGGCCGTCAGGGACAGGGGTAGAGGTGGAGAGGAGGAGGGGTAGGTGAATGCACAGGTCAGTTTAAACACAGGGAACATTGGGGAAAACGTACAACACTGTTATGGTAATTAGTAAATATGTAGCGCCCTCTGTGGCTGATGCCATGACCTACATTATTCTGAATAGATCTATTTCTATGCAAGCACGAAGTTACTATTTCTTGTGACAATTCTTGAGCTGAGAGTTCAGCACCGCGCACAATTGTTACCTCAAGTTGGCAGTTGGTTAGCTGAGCACAACAGTTGTTGTAGAAGCCTTACCCGCTCGCACTGCAGCAAAACACCTGGTTTCAGCCTCTCCCACACCCAAGATGTGCTCGGAGTGGATACCCTGTAGATAGTGGACTGTATGTGGCCCAGGTATCCCCTCTCCCCCTCACAGTAATGTCACTATGAGGGAGGTGTTTCCTATCAAGATGTTTGAATATGCTCATAGACCGATGTCTCTCAAAGATCTCCACCTTTTAGATCTCCACTATAGAAGCTGTCAAATGTCAGAGGTGGTCTGCACAGCTATAGACTGATCAGGGCCATCTCCCGGGCCTTTCTGGGCCTGAGGAGGATATCCTTGTCTCAGCATTACTTTGGCAACCCCATTCATATGACCCACATAAATGGTTTAAAAAAACTTAACAGATCAGGTACACAACATGAACACAAAGCTAGACTGGCATGGTTCATCAGCATTCCACTTGGAAACAAAGTGTTATCTAACATTTGTTGTGTGATTCCAGGACTGCCACTTTACCTCAATTAACCAGGTTATGGTCATTCTAACCCCAGGAATCAGCTCTAATTTGGGTTTGTATTTTACATTTACATTTTAGTCATTTAGCAGACGCTCTTATCCAGAGCGACTTAGTTAGTGAGTATCCAGGTTGGAGGTGCAGAGATCAGCCTGCTGCAGGGCAGAGTGACCATGGCAGCTGGTGATCCCAGGGTTGGGCCGAGGTAGCAACAATAGCACTGACCCAGTTTGGAGCGTAGTTTTGGGCTGCTTTCCCTGTCCTGAATCAGCCCTAATCCTGTCCTCCAAATCCATTGGGTACTCGTTTTAGCAGAGCTACAGTATTTCTGCCACAGTGTCTCTGTGTGTGTGTACACTGAGTATACCAAACATTAGGAACACCTTCCTAATATTGAGTTGCACTGGCTGAGAAAGCTATATTGTCTTCTTGACATCCCAAATCTGCATGTAACCCTCCCCCATTCATGCTAATGCTCCCTCCGTCTCTGTGCTGGGGCTGCAGACAGCAGGCCTGGGATGCAGAGCAGACAGATTGTTCCCCATGAACAGACTGAGGATTAAACCCAGGCCAGGCTCCTTAGAGGGGGCAGCCAGACCTCCAACAAAGCCCCTGCCTCCTAAAACAAACGGATGGTATGCACATGACATGATAATGCCCAATTCCAAATCATCCACCAACACGCCATTTTCTAAGAACTCGATGGATTGGAATGGATTAGACGTCTATGTAAGGTTATTACCATATCATGCCTAAACCTAATAGTTTTGTCAGGTGTTCAGTGTCAGCCAATCCACAGGTAGTTTATTTATCCTCTTCCGATCCAACCACTAATGTGTTCTTCCCCTGGCGCTGACACACTCCCCTATCCTCACACTCTTTCAGCCCTCCTCACCCCTTCCTTACCCCTCTTCCATTTGCATTTACAGTTTAGTCATTTAGCAGACACTCTTATCCAGAGCGACTTACAGTTAGTGCATTCATCTTAAGATAGCTAGGTGGGACAACCACATATCAGAATATTGTAAGTACATTTTTCCTCTAAAGTAGCTATCAGGAAAGTCAGTGCTAGTAAGGGGGGGGGTGGGGTAAAGTGCGAGTGTTGGTTCACGAAAGGCTTTATTTAAGATACTCTTTGAAGAGGTAGGGTTTCATATGTTTTGGGAAGATGGGCAGGGACTCTGCTGTGCTAGCTTCAGGGGGAAGCTGGTTCCACCATTGGGGTGCCAGGACAGAGAAGAGCTTGGACTGGGCTGAGCGGGAGTTGCCTTCCCGTAGAGGTGGGAGGGCCAAGAGACCAGAGGTGGCAGAATGGAGTACTCAGGCTGGGGTGTAAGGGTTGAGCAAACAGTGCATTTGGGAAGTATTCAGACATCTTCCCTTTTTCCACAGTTTGATACGTTACAGCCTTATTCTAAAATTGATGAAATACATTTTTTCCTCATCAATCTACACACAATACCCCATAATGACAAAGCAAAAACAGGTTTTTAGACATCTCTGCAGCGCTCCTGATTGGTGGACTGCTGCAGAGATGGTTGTCCTTCTGGAAGGTTCTCTCATCTCCACAGAGGAACTCTGAAGCTCTGTCAGAGAGACCATCTGGTTCTTGGTCACCTCCCTCACCAAGCCCCTTCTCCCCCGATTGCTCAGTTTGGCCGGTCGGCCAGCTCTAGGAAGAGTCTTGGTGGTTGCAAACTACTTCCATTTAAGAATGATGGAGGCCACTGTGTTCTTGGGGACCTTCAATGCTGCAGACATTTTTTGGTACCCTTCCCCAGATCTTTGCCTCGACAGAATCCTGTCTCAGAGCTCTACGGACAATTCCTTCAACCTCATGGCTTGGTTTTTGCTCTGACAACTGTGGGACCTCGTGTCCAATCAATTGAATTTACCACAGGTGGACTCCAATCAAGTTGTAGAAACATCTCAAGGATGATCAATGGAAACAGGATGCACCTGAGCTTAATTTAGAGTCTCATAGCAAAGGGCCTGAATACTTATGTAAATAAGGTATTTCTGTTTTTTATTTGTAATAAATGTGTTTTTGCTTTGTCATTGTGTGTAGATTGATGAGGGGGATTTTTTTTAAAAATCCATTTTAGAATAAGGCTGTAACGTAACAAAGTGGAAAAAGTCAAGGGGTCTGAATACTTTCCGAATGCTCTGTAGCCTAAAGGTAGGGAGGGGCAGTTCCTCTTGCTGCTCCATTGGCTAGTACCATGGTCTTGTAGTGGATGAGAGCCTCGACTGGAAGCCAGTGGAGTGTGCGTGGGTGACATGGTAGAATCTGTTCAACCTACCAGCCCACCTGACCTTCTAAATGCAATTAGAGGGCTACTGAGTGCCCAGACGACCCTGAGAGCTGTGCAGACCCCTCCCCCTTCTTCCTTTCTCCACACTTCCTCCACGTCTCTCTGGAGCTCCCATTCACACCGCCTCTCCGCTCCCTCAGTCTCCCTCCTTCCCTCTCCCTCCCTCTCTCACACACATTCTCCTCCCCTCTTTTGGTGGGACCAGCTGCTGCTATCGAAAACATTTCAGTCGTTCGTTGTGGGCTCCGCTCTCCGTTCTGCCGCTGCCCCCTCCTTTAGCCACCTCTCCGCCGCCAGCGTCACCACCACCGCCCCTCTTCACAGACAATACAGGGACAGACAGACAGCACTCCTCTCCTTTCTCTGGCTGACAAAATGACCGCCGTTCTGGATCTCAACCAGATTGCCATTGCCTGTTCGGCCATTGGTGTGGTGGTGAGTGGGACTGTCTGTTAGGTTGTGTTTATTGCTGATCCCATCGTCAGTCACCCTCAGTGGCCTGCATGTTGCTTGAGCTCTGACTCTGAGCAGCGGTGTGTCTGATTTCTCTGGGTTGTTTCTCAGGGGTGTGATCTCTATGGCATGGGAAGGTGTGTGTTAGGCACTGTGGCGATATGGGTGAGCGTATGACTGAGGAAACGAGAAACCTGCTGCGCATATTTGTGCTAGTGAGTGTGACTGTATGTTTGTAGCGTTCGTGACCAAGAAATAATGCATGCGTCTGTCTGTTTGTGTCGGTCTCTGTGTGTGTTTTATTCTTCCTCTCCTCTTACTGATGAATATCCAGCAGAAGGAGAATGAACAGTGTTGTCAGTGTATCAATACACCAGGGAGGTAGAGGGTTTGAAAAGGGTTTGATATTCTCAAGGCCCCTGACTGTGACAATCAGACTGGGGGAAATAAGGCAGGCCTCTACCAAGTGGAAGGCATGGCGAAGGTGGGAGAGGACAGAGACCGCATTGTTTACCCCATCCAGTGGAGTGAAGGGTGTGACAAGACTAATGGTGGAGAGGTAGGGAGGATGGGGTTTAGTACTGGAGGTGGGGTGGGTTTTAGTACTGGGTGGGGTTTAGTGCTGGGGGTGGGGTTTAGTACTGGGGGCTGGGCGATATATCAAATTAATTTGAATATGTTTTTGCTCGATGTTTGAAATGCATGTATCGGAATAGTCTATTTTTGGATTTCATTTTTTTATTTGCGTTTGTCCGCTTGTTCTAATGTTGTCTTCTCATCTTCTCGTGTCCTTTGCTCCTTCTGTGCTGTGTGCATCTCTCCATTTACATCAGAGATCTGAATATAAAGACGAGATGCTCCTGTCTCTGCCCTAACAATGGGAGTCATTGTCCCAAAGGCGAGAAGGCAGGCGACAAGCTTAATAAGCCCATAGAAGTGCATTGGGGTTATTTTGCTCAGGAATCAAGCTGGGATGTTATCCAGTCGTGTTGCTTTCTGTTTGTGAAGATCTTGTGGTCCTCTGTAGCTCAGCTGGTAGAGCTTGGCGCTTGTAACGCCAAGGTAGTGGGTTCGATCCCCGGGACCACCCATACGTAAAAATGTATGCACGCATGACTGTAAGTCGCTTTGGATAAAAGCGTCTGCTAAATGGCATATTATTATTATTATTATTATTATTATTATTATTATTATTATTATTATATTATTATATTATCTTTAAACATCTTTGAAACATCTGAAGTTGAAACCTCGTAAAATGCAAACTGTCCTTCGGAGATGCCCATGGCTGAATAATAGGTTTCAATAGGATGGTTTCCAAATGTGCCAGAGCATTCTGGGAGTTGGTCAACAAGGTTGCTGGCAATGGTGGTGAAAAACTCTTGAAAGTTTATCAGAACACCTGCCTCTCCTCCTGCTGAACCATCTTTGAACCCCTCTTCCTCATTTAGCATAAAGTGGCTCTACAAAACAACACCACCGATATGATGATTACCATGTTGCTTTTCCCTCTATAATATGGAACAGCAGGATCTGTGTTGTCGTGGTAACCGATAGTGTTCAGCTTTTCTCTTTTAACTTGTTGCATATGAAGTGGCTCCTCTCGGTTTGTCTTTGTTGTCGTTCAGAGGGGGTGAATTTGAGGCTTTTACCAATGAATACTGACATTTTAGGCTTTCGTATGGGTATTGTTTACACTTCAAATGCCACCTCAGATTCCCACGCCCCTTGAGAAATGGGTCCAGACTTGCAATGCTCTCTGAATGACACGATCTAGACCAGGGGTAGTAGGGCTGGGAATTGCCAGGGACCTCACGATTCTATATGTATTGCGACTCAACACTGATTTTATTGTGATTCGATGGTTCCAAAAATGTTGCTCAACATATGTCTGCTGCAGAGGGACGAGTGAGCCATGAGAAAACACGTTTTGATCAGTCATGGAAATAAAAGCACTAAAAACAAACTGGCTCCCTATTTAAAAACAAGATAGAGATCAAGCTTTGAATTAAAAAATACTGGAGGTAATGCCAACTAGCGCATAAAATATTGTCAAAACGATACAATATATCATAAAAAATGATATCCCGATATGTAACTGTATACATCCCCCCCCCCCATCACTAAGGGGTAGGTAACTAGATTCAGGCATGATCGGGGGGCCGGAACATAATTATAATAATTTGTACACTGCAAATTGGCCACAACTTTGAAAATAAGGTAACACTTTATTTGGATAGTCCGTCTGTAGTTTATCTACAGACTATCAGTACCATTTCCACTATCTACTAACCCTAACCTTAACCCTTATTCTAAACCTAACCGTAACCTTAGCAAGCAGTTGCTTATCAACAGATAATTGATCTGTAGATGCTCTACAGATGGTCATACTATCTGGACTATCCAAAGTGTGAGCGAAAATAACAATTTCATACCTTGATTACATTGAGACACGATAACAGTTTTTATTAATTTTTTTTACTTTGTAATGTTTTTACTAAAAAGTTTGGGGGGGGGGCAAAAAGAATCACTTGCAGCCCATTCTTCTCAGGATACTACTGCAGCAGATCCCCTCTCCCCATCACCTGACCCCTCCATTGTGACAACCACAGCCTTCCTGTCTTTAGTCACAAGCCAAATATCAGCGGTGCACAGCCCCCTCAACCTTCTGCCGTGAATACGTTTTAAAAAAGTTATTGGGACTGCTGCTGTTTTCAAAGCATTGAGTGCTTCGTTTTCTTTGGTCAAGGCCACCATTGACTCGGAAGCTATTTGAGGTCCTTGATGTTTCAGAAGAAAAAGCAATGTTGCTTTTTGTCTTTATCTCAGGCTTCCATTTCATCTGGTAGATAAAAGCCCCAGGCTACTAAATATCATTTTCCTTGTTGTTTATCCTACAGTTGTGGCAATCCCTGTCTACTGAAGCCTCTTTGATCAGAGTCGTCATGTTCAACATGGTTACAGGTGTCTGTGTGAGGGACCTCGCATGAATCCTCCATCTCTCAAACACAACCTTTCACACAGCCAAGCCTTTCAACCCGTATCCTCCATCTCTCACAAACACAACCTTTCACACAGACAAGCCTTTCAACCCGTATCCTCCATCTCTCACAAACACAACCTTTCACACAGCCAAGCCTTTCAACCCGTATCCTCCATCTCTCACAAACACAACCTTTCACACAGCCAAGCCTTTCAACCCGTATCCTCCATCTCTCACAAACACAACCTTTCACACAGCCAAGCCTTTCAACCCGTATCCTCCATCTCTCACAAACACAACCTTTCACACAGCCAAGCCTTTCAACCCGTATCCTCCATCTCTCACAAACACAACCTTTCACACAGCCAAGCCTTTCAACCCATATCCTCCATCTCTCACAAACACAACCTTTCACACAGCCAAGCCTTTCAACCCGTATCCTCCATCTCTCACAAACACAACCTTTCACACAGCCAAGCCTTTCAACCCGTATCCTCCATCTCTCACAAACACAACCTTTCACACAGCCAAGCCTTTCAACCCGTATCCTCCATCTCTCACAAACACAACCTTTCACACAGCCAAGCCTTTCAACCCGTATCCTCCATCTCTCACAAACACAACCTTTCACACAGCCAAGCCTTTCAACCCGTATCCTCCATCTCTCACAAACACAACCTTTCACACAGCCAAGCCTTTCAACCCATATCCTCCATCTCTCACAAACACAACCTTTCACACAGCCAAGCCTTTCAACCCGTATCCTCCATCTCTCACAAACACAACCTTTCACACAGCCAAGCCTTTCAACCCGTATCCTCCATCTCTCACAAACACAACCTTTCACACAGCCAAGCCTTTCAACCCATATCTTCTATTTTTGCTCCTCCTCACCAAGATGAGAGTGTGACTCTGCCAGGTGTCAGCGCAGCTGAGCGAGGTGTTTTATACAGGCCAGGGTTGAACAACCATCATCCGTATTGTATTGTATTGTATTGTATTGTATTGTATTGTATTGTATAGCTATTCCTTCTCTAACCAGTTTTTATTTCTACTTGAAGTGACTGGTTATCATAGGTTTGCTTTTTGCAGTCATGGCTGAACAGACTGGTTTAGCCTGATCTCAAACCTACCCCCTCCCAGACCCCATGGTGTTGAGTATTGCTCAATGTTCTGGTGACGTGGCTGATTCTGAACAGTTGCTGAGAGGCCCTCATGTCTCAGCATGGCGTCTTTCCATCCAGTTTAGATCTCTTGACGCAGTACGGCCCTCAAACCACCATCTCTGTGGTTTTCAGCTGCACCAATGGACGGAAGCTGAACACCGAAGTAGGCACATGCATTTAGTAGTGCTCCTCTATTTGGGTCTCTGCTTGTTTATTGGAGTACTCGATAAAAACAAAATGGCCACCGCGACATTATTGCTACCATACAGAAACATGCATCACACTAGGCTATAGTAGCAGAGTGCTTACTAGGAAAGTCTATGGTTCTGTCACACCTCTATATGCATTGCCTTCATTTACTTTTTGATGTTGTGTTCCTGTGTTGAATAAATGTGTGTGTGGAAGAAGTTGTGACCTGTTAAATTACATTTAATGTTGAATTAGAGTCAGGCCTAAGGGCTGTGGACGGACAGAGATTTCCATCCCCACATAATGAGATTAGCCAGACGTCAGAGGATGTTATCTGGTGGCAGGCAGTGTGTCTGTGAGACGGGACAGGTAGCAGGCCCTCTACTTATCCACACAACATCCTGCGTTACGTGTGTGGCAGTGAGATGAGACTCTACAGTGTGCACGTATCCGTCTGGTGTGGTGCCAACGTCACCTCTGACATTAGCCATGCCGCTCACACGCAGCGGTCATTGTCATGATGATCCAGCCTCCGTTATCAATCTAGGTCATCCTCTAGACCTGCTGAAGAGGACCCTGCTTTCAACAGTACTACTGTATGACCTGCACATCCTCACACTTAGCCTCGCTGAGGAAGTGATTTTCTGTCTCCTACTGACACTAGCAAGTGTCCTACTCGGTGTATGAATTAATAATTAATATGTGTTTTTTCTCAAATCTGCACCTGTATAGTGCTATGACTGGCACTAAAAGGCTGGCTCCTCTAAGCTCTACAGACACCGCCGGCCCTGACCCAGACCATGCGGTCTTGTATTTCAGGAGCATGACATCGAGACCCCCCATGGTGTTCTGCACGTGACGATGAGGGGAACCCCCAAGGGCAACAGACCAGTCATCCTCACCTACCATGACATTGGTCTCAACCGTGAGTGTACACACACACACACACACACACACACACACACACACACACACACACACATATATTCAGGCTCTCATTAGTTTAGCTAGGCTTTGAAATCTCTCCAAACACCCCTAAAATGCATAATATCATGGGTGAATTCTCATTAGAACAGTTGGCGCTTTAGAGATGTAAGAAACTGGAGGGTTGAAGGTAGAAATCTTCTTGAGCTTTGGGGATATGAGCCACTATGTCAGACTGGATCGCCCCAACACTTGGCTGCCTCATTGTAAAACAACACTGAGTTTTTCAGTGTATTTTTTGGTTGATTACTGGTATGGGATGGGATTTGTTGACATGCTCAAGATTACATTCAGTGTTGTAGTTTTTGTTAGATGTACATTTGAGTAGGATGTGACCAGTAAATGAGGTGTCTTTAAACAGTGCTGGGTCTCTCTTCCCCCTGCAGATAAGTCCTGTTTCAACACACTGTTCAACTTTGAAGACATGCAGGAGATCACATCACACTTTGCTGTGGTCCACGTGGACGCCCCAGGACAGCAGGAGGCTGCTCCCCCATTCCCCACAGGGTAAGAGACCAGTTCACTCATCAGTCATCATCCTCAACATCATCTAATAATATCACAAGTATCTACACAATCATGATTGGTATTGTAGACCTGAATAAAGGGTGGCTAGGTCATCAGAGCCATAGTGAACCATGAGGTCTTCTGGCTGCATCCCCCTTCCTCTGGCTGCATCCCCCTTCCTCTGGCTGCACCCCCCCCTTCCTCTGGCTGCATCCCCCCTCCTCTGGCTGCACCCCCCCTTCCTCTGGCTGCACCCCCCCCCTTCCTCTGGCTGCACCCCCCCCTTCCTCTGGCTGCACCCCCCCCTTCCTCTGGCTGCACCCCCCCTTCCTCTGGCTGCACCCCCCCTTCCTCTGGCTCCACCCCCCTTCCTCTGGCTCCACCCCCCCCTTCCTCTGGCTGCACCCCCCCTTCCTCTGGCTGCACCCCCCCTTCCTCTGGCTCCACCCCCCCCCCCCCCTCCTCTGGCTCCACCCCCCCCCCCTCCTCTGGCTCCATCCCCCCCTTCCTCTAGGTGAGTGAGTGAAAGGACCGTTTCAGAGCAGGAGTCAGACAGCCAGCCAGAACATGACATGGTGTCTGGATAGAATAGGTGTCTGGCTTTGGACTTTCATAAGCTTGTGTCTCTGGTCATCAGTCCATCAAAAAAAAAACAGAAAGAGTCTGTTTCAAATAACTAGTGCCAGTTATCTCACCAAGGTAGACCTATAATACCTCAGCGATCCTGGTCCTACCGCTGTCTGTCTGTCCCAGGTACCAGTACCCTACCAACCTTTCTGTCTGTCTGTCTGTCCCAGGTACCAGTACCCTACCAACCTTTCTGTCTGTCTGTCTGTCTGTCCCAGGTACCAGTACCCTACCATGGATGAGCTGTCTGAGATGCTGCCCGCTGTCATGACTCAGCTGAAGTAAGTTCTCCTGCAGTGTTTCCATCATAGATATAGAACCCTATATTGTCTATGGTTTCCATAACTACCTCTTACACTGTCGTTTAATGAATGTAATTATTGTTCCGTCTTCAATGAGGCTTATATTTTTCTCTTTCCCCAGGGTGAACAGTGTGATTGGGATTGGAGTTGGAGCTGGAGCCTACATCCTGTCCAGACTGGCTGTAAGTCCCCGTTCCTCCTAGTCCTCCTCCATATACCACACCCCCCACTCACCCACAGCACGTGCTTGTTTCCAAACGTATAACAGGATCATTTGTTAATACAAAGGGCTTGAACGGATACTTCGAGATTTTGGCAATGAGGCCCTTTATCTACTTCCCCAGAGTCAGATGAACGTGTGGATGCCATTTGTATGTCTCTGTGTCCAGAATGAAGGAAGTTAGAGGTAGTTTCATGAGACAATGTTAACCAGCGTAATGACTGGAAGTCTATGGTATCTTCTAGCATCTGCTCTACTCACTGTCCTCAGTCTTCAATAATAACTGGGCTGAACAAGGATGAACAGAGCAGTCCCTATCGATATCTCCACTAACCCCTGCTCCACCTCTTCATTCCCCATCTCGCTCCATCTCCACCACTAAACCCCTGCTCCACCTCTTCATTCCCCATCTCTCTCCATCTCCACCACTAAACCCCGCTCCACCTCTTCATTCCCCATCTCGCTCCATCTCCACCACTAAACCCCTGCTCTACCTCTTCATTCCCCATCTCTCTCCATCTCCACCACTAAACCCCGCTCCACCTCTTCATTCCCCATCTCCACCACTAAACCCCGCTCCACCTCACATTTCACTGTAATGTCTACACCTGTTGTATTCGGCGCATGTAGCAAATAGAATTTGATTTGATAATTCCCCATCTCCCTCCCATCTCTACCAGCTCATCTCAGAGCCTGTTTACCAGTAGAGACATCATGACCCCTGCTCATATGACCAGCTCCATTTATTCTCTCGATAAAGAAGATTTTAATTAATCGGATTGTCTCGAGAGTGCATGACTGGACTGATGGGGTCATCATGGGAGGCTCACGTGGCATTCCCCTCTGTATTATTACACTCACTGGTTGACCAGATAGAAATTACTGTACAAATGTTAGCTTGATGCTTAATATCGACCGTTTCCCTCCATGCACTGCATACCACAGGGAAGTCTCTCTCCTCTCACATTCCTAGGTAGAGAGAATGCATTCAAGTAGGTGAGAGGAATTAATAGATTTAGAGCAGAGATGACTTGAAGAGGTGTGTTAATTATAGTTAATTTAAGCCCTGCCAACGTGGGCTTGTTGTGAAGACGAGAAGGAGAAAATATAACATACATATATATTTCTATACGTTTCCATACTCACAAGTGGGTTAAAAGCAAGTTAGTTTTATCTATCACCTTCGTGTTCTCTGTGTAAATGTGAATTAGAGGCTGGGGAATTGGTTGGGGGAGGGTGTGGCTCCTAGCATGTGAGTTGTTGCTAAGAGCTGTGAAAGACGTCAAGTGCTGTGGTATAACATGAATGTCTGTGTGTTAGTGCTTTTGGAGGTCGGTTCGGTTTCGCTTCTAAAAATAAAATAAACAAATTACCACGGTTTTCGGTTTTGATTCTTATTTTTAACCTCTTAAGGATCAGACTCTTCTTTTCAATTTCCGCCTAAAATGACCCAAATCTAACTGCCTGTAGCTCAGGACCTGAAGCAAGGATATGCTTATTCTTGGTACTTTTTGAAAGGAAACACTTTGAAGTTTGTGGAAATGTGAAATGAATGTAGAACATAACACAATAGATCTGGTAAAAGATAAAACAAACAAAAAAACATACGTTTTTTATTTTTGTTGCATCATCTTTGACATGAAAAAGAAAAGCCATACATTCAGATAGGAAGCTGGAGGTAATTTAGATGTTGTCTACAAGAGGACAACAGTGTATATGAGGGAGCTACATAACATTTAGTATGATGTCACCCAGGTGTCCCTCACGAGTTTGCCTAAATGTACCCAAGTGGCCGACGTGGTAAATTGATACATTTTCAAGTACATAACTATAGAGAACATACAAAAATGCTATGGTAATAAAAAATACTAGTTCGCACACTCCCAGGAATGTCATACATGATGGATCATTAGCTTTCCTACATAAGACACGAAACTTCACACATCTAGATGGCCGGGCGGGGTGGGTGTGGAGCCAGAGACAGCAGCAGGGGTCAGACTGGAGGAACCAGTCTCTTTGGTGTTGGCTCCCAGAGGTCATCTGAGTCAGTCTCTAGCACCATAGAAGATTTAAAAACATTCATTAAGAACTGAACTTTACTATTACTTATTCTATTGAACCTTTATTTTAGCAGGGGTGAGCCCTGCATCAATACGTTTACGGATGAGCCCTGCATCAATACATCAAATAAACAACACATATCCATAAACATACAGTGGGGAGAACAAGTATTTGATACACTGCCGATTTTGCAGGTTTTCCAACTTACAAAGCATGTAGAGGTCTGTCATTTTTATCATAGGTACACTTCAACTGTGAGAGACGGAATCTAAAACAAAAATCCAGAAAATCACATTGTATGATTTTTAAGTAATTAATTTGCATTTTATTGCATGACATAAGTATTTGATCACCTACTAACCAGTAAGAATTCCGGCTCTCACAGACCTGTTAGTTTTTCTTTAAGAAGCCCTCCTGTTCTCCACTCATTACCTGTATTAACTGCACCTGTTTGAACTCGTTACCTGTATAAAAGACACCTGTCCACACACTCAATCAAACAAACTCCAACCTCTCCACAATGGCCAAGACCAGAGAGCTGTGTAAGGACATCAGGGATAAAATTGTAGGCCTGCACAAGGCTGGGATGGGCTACAGGACAATAGGCAAGCAGCTTGGTGAGAAGGCAACAACTGTTGGCGCAATTATTAGAAAATGGAAGAAGTTCAAGATGACGCTCAATCACCCTCGGTCTGGGGCTCCATGCAAGATCTCACCTCGTGGGGCATCAGTGATCATGAGGAAGGTGAGGGATCAGCCCAGAACTACACAGCAGGACCTGGTCAATGACCTGAAGAGAGCTGGGACCACAGTCTCAAAGAAAACGATTAGTAACACACTACGCCGTCATGGATTAAAATCCTGCAGCGCACGCAAGGTCCCCCTGCTCAAGCCAGCGCATGTCCAGGCTCATCTGAAGTTTGCCAATGACCATCTGGATGATCCAGAGGAGGAATGGGAGAAGGTCATGTGGTCTGATGAGACAAAAATAGAGCTTTTTGGTCTAAACTCCACTCACCGTGTTTTGAGGAAGAAGTAGGATGAGTACAACTCCAAGAACACCATCCCAACCATCAAGCATGGAGGTGGAAACATCATTCTTTGGGGATGCTTTTCTGCAAAGGGGATAGGACGACTGCACCGTATTGAGGAGAGGATGGATGGGGCCATGTATTGCGAGATCTTGGCCAACAACCTCCTTCCCTCAGTAAGAGCATTGAAGATGGGTCGTGGCTGGGTCTTCCAGCATGACAACGACCCGAAACACACAGCCAGGGCAACTAAGGAGTGGCTCTGTAAGAAGCATCTCAAGGTCCTGGAGTGGCCTAGCCAGTCTCCAGACCTGAACCCAATAGAAAATCTTTGGAGGGAGCTGAAAGTCCGTATTGCCCAGCGACAGCCCCGAAACCTGAAGGATCTGGAAAAGGTCTGTATGGAGGAGTGGGCCAAAATCCCTGCAGCAGTGTGTGCAAACCTGGTCAAGACCTACAGGAAACGTATGATCTCTGTAATTGCAAACAAAGGTTTCTGTACCAAATATTAAGTTCTGCTTTTCTGATGTATCAAATACTTATGTCATGCAGTAAAATGCAAATTAATTACTTAAAAATCATACAATGTGATTTTCTGGATTTTTGGATTGCGTCTCTCACAGTTGAAGTGTACCTATGATAAACATTACAGACCTCTACATGCTTTGTAAGTAGGAAAACCTGCAAAATCGGCAGTGTATCAAATACTTGTTCTCCCCACTGTATATTAGAGTTTGGGGAACACAATCACTATAATGAAATATGTTTACCAATAGTAAATAGGGGGCAGACCTACAATGTATTTATACAGACCTAAAATGTATTAGCATAGCCATTGTGTATTTTATGTTGATTGAGTCTTTAGCGCTATAGAATATTTTTTTTAAATCAGTAAGAACTCAAGTTTACTATTTACTTATTTTATTGAACCTTTATTTTAGCAGGGGGTGAGCCTGCATTGATTATTTTAGCAGGGGGGTGAGCAATGTGTATTTTATGTTGACTTATTTCGAGTGCCCTATTTACTATTGAGAAACATATTTCATTATAGTGATTATATATACAGTGCCTTGCAAAAGTATTAATTCCCCATGGCGTTTTTCCTATTTTGTTGCATTACAACCTGTAATTTAAATGGATTTTTATTTGGATTTCATGTAATGGACATACACAAAATAGTCCAAATTGGTGAAGTGAAATAAAAAAAATTACTTTTTTTTAAAAATTCTAAAAAATAAATAACGGAAAACTGGTGCATGCATATGTATTCACCCCCTTTTGCTATGAAGCCCCTAAATAAGATCTGGTGCAACCAATTACCTTCAGAAGTTACATAATTTGTTAAATAAAGTCCACCTGTGTGCAAGTGTCACGGGATCTGTCACATGATCTCAGTGTGTATATATACACCTGTTCTGAAAGGCCCCAGAGTCTGCAACACCACTAAGCAAGGGTAACCAAGGACCTAACCAAGGACTTCTCCAAACAGGTCAGGGACAAAGTTGTGGAGAAGTACAGATCAGGGTTGGGTTACAAAAATATATAAGAAGCTTTGAACATCCCACGGAGCACCATTTTAAATCCATTATTAAAAAATGGAAGGAATATGGCACCACAACAAACCTGCCAAGAGAGGGCCGCCCACCAAAACTCACGGACCAGGCAAGGAGGGCATTCATCAGAGGCAACAAAGAGACCAAAGATAACCCTGAAGGAGCTGCAAAGCTCCACAGCGGAGATTGGAGTATCTGTCCATAGGACCACTTTAAGCCGTACACTCCACAGAGCTGGGCTTTACGGAAGAGTGGCCAGTTAAAAGCCATTGCTTAAAGAAAAAAATAAGCAAACACGTTTGGTGTTCGCCAAAAGGCATGTGGGAGTCTCCCCAAACATATGGAAGAAGGTACTCTGGTCAGATGAGACTAAAATTGAGATTTCTGGCCATCAAGGAAAACGCTGTCTGGCGCAAACCCAACACCTCTCATCACCCCGAGAACAACATCCCCACAGTGAAGCATGTTGGTGGCAGCATCAGGCTGTGGGGATGTTTTTCATCGGCAGGGACTGGGAAACTGGTCAGAATTGAAGGAATGATGGATGGTGCTAAATAAAGGGAAATTCTTGAGGGAAACCTGTTTCAGTCTTCCAGAGATTTGAGAGTGGGACAGAGGTTCACCTTCCAGCAGGACAATGACCCTAAGCATACTGCTAAAGCAACACCCGAGTGGTTTAAGGGGAAACATTTCAATGTCTTGGAATGGCCTAGCCAAAGCCCAGACCTCAATCCAATTGAGAATCTGTGGTATGACTTAAAGATTGCTGTACACCAGCGGAACCCATCCAACTTGAAAGAGCTGGAGCATTTTGTCTTGAAGAATGGGCAAAAATCCCAGTGGCTAGATGTGACAAGCTTATAAAGACATACCCCAAGAGACTTGCAGCTGTAATTTCTGCAAAAGGTAGCTCTACAAAGTATTGACTTTGGGGGGGTGAATAGTTATGCACGCTAAAGTTTTCAGTTTTTTTGTTTCACCAGAAAACATATTTTGCATCTTCAAAGTGGTAGTTATGTTGTGTAAATCAAATGATACAAACCCCCCCCAAAAAACAATTTTAATTCCAGGTTGTAAGGCAACAAAATAGGAACTGCATGAGAAGAAATAAAGTATTTTACTTACCAGTCTGTTACGTCTTTCCAATCCAAAATAAATCAGGGTGAGTCTACAGTGTAATCACGAACTAAGTCCTCATCAATTCTATGTCACTTTCCCGATCAATTTCTGCAATAATCTCGTCCAAATCTGTATACTTGGTCTTCAATTGAGCATTTCCTGTTTTATTAGCCATGTTCTACTTTCTAAAATAGCAAACTTGGTAGAACTAATCGAGCGTGCCTGCGTAATACGAGTCCCTCTTTGTTCTCTCGATTTTATCTGCCCAATGTGCAGTTGAAGTCGGAAGTTTACATACACCTTAGACAAATACATTTAAACTCAGTTTTTCACAATTCCTGGCAATTAATCCTAGTAAAAATTCCCCGTCTTAGGTCAGTTAGGATCACCACTTTATTTTAAGAATGTGAAATGTCAGAATAATAGTAGAGATTTATTTAAGCTTTTATTTCTTTCATCACATTCCCAGTGGGTCAGAAGTTTACATACACTCAATTAGTATTTGGTGGCATTGCCTTTAAATTGTTTAACTTGGGTGAAACGTTTTGGGTAGCCTTCCACAAGCTTCCCACAATAAGTTGGGTGAATTTTGGCCCATTCCTCCTGACAGAGCTGGTGTAACTGAGTCAGGTTTGTAGGCCTCCTTGCCCGCACACGCTTTTTCAGTTCTGCCCACACATTTTCTATAGGATTGAGGTCAGGGCTTTCTGATGGCCACTCCAATACCTTGACTTTGTTGTCCTTAAGCCATTTTGCCACAACTTTGGAAGTATGCTTGGGGTCATTGTCCATTTGGAAGCCCATTTGCAACCAAGCTTTAACTTCCTGACTGATGTCTTGAGATGTTGCTTCAATATATCCACATAATTTTCCTTTCTCATGATGCCATCTATTTTGTGAAGTGCACCAGTCCCTCCTGCAGCAAAGCACCCCCACAGCAATGATGCTGCCACCCCCGTGCTTCACGGTTTTGATGGTGTTCTTCGGCTTGCAAGCAACCCCCTTTTTCCTCCAAACATAACGATGGTCATTATGGCCAAACAGTTCTATTTTTGTTTCATCAGACCAGAGGACATTTCTCCAAAAAGTAAGATCTTTGTCCCCATGTGCAGTTGCAAACCATAGTCTGGCTTTTTTATGGCGGTTTTGGAGTAGTGGCTTCTTCCTTGCTGAGCGGCCTTTCAGGTTATGTCGACATAGGACTCGTTTTACTGTGGATATAGATACTTTTGTACCTGTTTCCTCCAGCATCTTCACTAGGTCCTTTGCTGTTGTTCCGGGATTTATTTGCACTTTTCACACAAAAGTACGTTCATCTCTAGGAGACAGAACGCGTCTCCTTCCTGAGCGGTATGACGGCTGCGTGGCCCCATGGTGTTTATACTTGCGTACTATTGTTTGTACAGATGAATGTGGTACCTTCAGGCGTTTGGATATTGCTCCCAAGGATGAACCAGACTTGTGGAGGTCTACCATTTTTTTTCTGAGGTCTTGGCTGATTTCTTTTGATTTTCCCATGATGTCAAGCAAAGAGGCACTGAGTTTGAAGGTAGGCCTTGAAATACCTCCAATTGACTCAAATGATGTCAATTAGCCTATCAGAAGCTTCTAAAGCCATGGAATTTACCAAGCTGTTTAAAGGCACAGTCAACTTAGTGGATGTAAACTTCTGACCCACTGGAATTGTGATACAGTGAATTATAAGTTAAATAATCTGTCTGTAGACAATTTTTTGAAATATTACTTGTGTCATGCACAAAGTAGATGTCCTAACCGACTTGCCAAAACTATAGTTTGTTAACAAGAATTTTGTGGAGTGGTTGAAAAACGAGTTTTAATCAAATCAAATCAAATCAAATATTATTTGCCACATGCGCCGAATACAACATGTGTAGACATTACAGTGAAATGCTTACTTACAAGCCCTTAACCAACAATGCTTTTTAAAAAGGTTTTTTTTTTTTTTTTTTTTTTTGTGTTAAGTAAAAAAAATAAGAGCAGCAGTAAAATAAAATAACAGTAGGGAGGCTATATACAGGGGGTACCGGTACAGAGTCAATGTGCGGGGGAACGGCTAGTCGAGGTAATTTAGGTAATATGTACATGTGGGTAGAGTTAAAGTGACTATGCATAGATAATAGACAGAGTAGCAGCAGGCTAAAAGAGTGAGGTGGGGGTGGGGGGGCTTTGAAAATATTCCATTGTCTCGGTCTGGTCCACGTTGGGTAGACGTCAATAGGAAATTACTATGAAATAATACAATATTTCAGTTGTTGTATTACTTAGTTTTTATTTGATTACTTTATTATTTTTCATTCCTTAAAGTCATCATCTTATCTCTAATCAGGCAGTAGCAGCCAGCCAGCCAGACAACGTTATCTCTGTGCTCCCCGTACTGTACTGTCTTTAGTCATCCTATTTATCTAGGCTAGCCTGCCTAAGCATGCTGCAGAGCTGTCTGACCAAATCATTTAACTACCAATATCCTGCACTGGACTAGGTTGACTATTTGCTTAATAAAAACTAACAACTCCCTTTAGCCCAGCGTCCTACATAGTTCTTGACTTGATTTATCTCATTAATTATTTGATTTCTCTATAGAAAAACGGCACGTTGGGCACACAAAAAAAAAAAGAACTATACTGAATAAAAATATAAACGCAACATATAAAGTGTTGGTCCCATGTTTCATGAGCTGAAATAAAAGATCCAAGAAATTTTCCACATGCACAAAAAGCTTATTTCTCTCCAATTTTGTGCAGAAATTTGTTTACATCCCTGTTAGTGAGCATTTCTCCTTTGCCAAGATAATCCATCCACCTGACAGGTGTGGCATATCAAGAAGCTGATTAAACAGCATGATCATTACACAGGTGCACCTTGTGCTGGGGGCAGTAAAATGTTTTGTCACACAACACAATGCCACAGATGTCTCAAGTTTTGAGGAAGCGTGCAATTAGATTGCTGACTGCAGGAATGTCCACCAGAGCTGTTGCCAGAGAATTGACTGTTCATTTCTCTACTATAAGGCGCCTCCAACATTGTTTTAGAGAATTTGGCAGAGCGTACAACCAGCCTCACAACCACATACCATGTGTAAACACACCAGCCCAGGACCTCCACATCCGGCTTTTTCACATGCGGGATCGTCTGAGACCAGCCACCCGGACAGCTGATGAAACTGAGGAGTATTTCTGTCTGTAATAAAGCCCTTTTGTATGGGAAAAACACATTCTGATTGGCTGGGCCTGGATCCCCAGTGGGTGGGCCTATGCCCAGTCATGTGAAATCCATAGATTAGGGCCTAATGAATTTATTTCAATTGACTGATTTCCTTATATGAACTGTAGCTCAGTAAAATTGTTAACTGTTGCATGTTGCGTTTTATATTTTTGTTCAATATAAATGTAATTCAAGTAATTGATCCGAAGTCTGTCAATTGGTTGTTAAAAAAAACAAAAAAACACACGTCTGTTAATCACTCAGCACTGGGGTTGTGCGTGCGGCAGGTAGCCTAGCAGTTAAAACCGCTTGACCAGTAACCGAAAGGTCGCTGGTTTGAATCCCCGAAACCGACTAGGGGAAAAAATCTGTCTGTGCCCTTGAGCAAGGCACTTAACCCTACATGTGTGTGCTGCCCTGCTTCCTCTGCTGCTGGGCCCTGTCTGTGACTCCTTTGGTCCTCTGTGTTCCACACAGCACAGTACGGTCAGTACAGTAACCCCCTATCCTCTCTCTTCAGCTCAATGAGCCGGCCCTGGTCGAAGGTCTGGTCCTCATCAATGTGGACCCCTGTGCAAAGGGCTGGATGGACTGGGCCGCCTCAAAGGTAAAAACCAACACACAAACATATTTCTATGCTAACTTTGTGCATTTTAGAGGCATACTAGATTGGCATGTTGGAGCATAATTATTTGTTGTTTTAGATGTCCGGCTGGACCAGCAACCTGGTGGACATAGTGATGGCCCACCACTTCAGTGATGTGAGTCAGAGGGCTGTGTGGAGGGATGGGAGACTGGGCCAGAGGGCTGTCTGAAGGGATGGGAGACTGGGACAGAGGGCTATCTGAAGGGGTAGGAGACTGGGACAGAGGGCTGTCTGAAGGGATGGGAGACTGGGACAGAGGACTGTCTGAAGGGATGGGAGACTGGGACAGAGGGCTATCTGAAGGGGTAAGAGACTGGGACAGAGGGCTGTCTGAAGGGATGGGAGACTGGGACAGAGGACTGTCTGAAGGGATGGGAGACTGGGACAGAGGGCTATCTGAAGGGGTAGGAGACTGGGACAGAGGGCTGTCTGAAGGGATGGGAGACTGGGACAGAGGACTGTCTGAAGGGATGGGAGACTGGGACAGAGGGCTATCTGAAGGGGTAGGAGACTGGGACAGAGGGCTGTCTGAAGGGATGGGAGACTGGGACAGAGGACTGTCTGAAGGGATGGGAGACTGGGACAGAGGGCTATCTGAAGGGGTAGGAGACTGGGACAGAGGGCTGTCTGAAGAGATGGGAGACTGGGACAGAGGGCTGTCTGAAGGGGTAGGAGACTGGGACAGAGGGCAATCTGAAGGGATGGGAGACTAGGACAGAGGGCTGTCTGAAGGGATGGGAGACTGGGACAGACAGAGGGAAAGGACTATGCAGACTTTTCTGACGTGCAAACTGATATTTAATTTCAGAATAGGTTAATGGTTTGGTTAAGCTTAGGGGTTTAGGTAAGGATCAGTTTTAGATTTTGGCAAGTCGGTTTGAAAAGTCTGTATAGCCCTTTCCGGGTCAGAGCATACTGGCCGAATACTGTGGGTGGTTGAAAGTGATGTAACAATCTTTGCCCCCTCCTCAGGATGAGCTGTCTGACAACCAGGAGATCACCCAGACATATCGCCTGCACATTGCCCAGGACATCAACCAGGAAAACCTGGCCCTCTTCTGCAATGCCTACAACAGGTACAGTACTGTACATAGAACCCCAAGAGTAACTGGCTGTGCATTTGGGTAGAAATGATAGATTGGTTGATTGATTTATCTATTTGTTTTGACAGCCGTCGGGACTTGGAGATCGAGAGGCCCATCACCGGTCTGACTGAGGACACGGTGAACACACTGAAGTATGTGAACATGCTGCAGACTGTATTACTGCAGCTGTCTTCTTGTATGTGGACTGTGTGTTTTGTATGCGAGTTGTTTTTTATAAACTGGGTGGTTCAAGCCCTGAATGCTGATTTGGCTGAAAGCCGTGGTATATCAGACCGTATACCACAGGTATGGAAAAACATGTATTTTTACTGCTCTAATTACGTTGGTAACCAGTGTATAATAGCAATAAGGCACCTCGGGGGTTTGTGGTATATGGCTAATATACCACGGCTAAGGGCTGTATCCAGGCACTCCGTGTTGCATTGTGCTTAAGAACAGCCCTTAACCCCCCCCCCCCCCCCGGGCCTTATTGGTTAATTATAACATTGCATCCCTGCTTTCTCTCTGAGTGCTGACTCTGTTTGTCTCTCCATCCAGATGCACTTCTCTGCTGGTGGTTGGTGACACGTCCCCGGCTGTCGATGCAGTGGTGGGTGCCCACTTTATCTCCATTGCAACACAGTAGCGAATAAGCCAGAGGGTCTGATTCCAATACAAAGTATCAACCCACCTCAGGGACAGAGTGTTGTGTTGTGTCTATAGAGATGGGGGTGAGGTCACTAGACGTAGCCTTTCTGAATAGGAGGGGCCAGACGGAACCCTGTCTAAACAGCTGTTGTATCTCATCTATCTCAATCTTCCTTTCTTGTTTACAGGTTGAATGCAACTCCAGGTTAAATCCAACCAAAACAACCCTTCTTAAGGTGTGTTCAGTTACTATTTTGTTGTTGGTAGAAATAGGAGTGGTAATGCTATGTGGTCCCTGCTGTTCTGCTCTTTAGTAATGCACATGATCTGCGTAGAGGAGGTTCAGCCTTCTTGGAGGTGTTCATAGGCCAGTGAATGTTAAGGTATTTTGACTAACGGCATGATCCTGTCTGTGAGATTCTCCACTTTGGGCATGCTTCTCATTCTCTGGTTACTTCCCTATAGATGCAAGACTGTGGCGGGCTTCCTCAGGTCATCCAGGTGAGTCATGAACTAGTTTTGTATTTAGCTTAAACTACACTTAAGTGGTCCTCTGTAGCTCAGTTGGTTAGAGAATGGCCCTTGCAACACCAGGATCGCGAGTTTGATCCCCGTACGTAAAACAGAACGAGCAGTATGGCTGGTGGCATTATCATGCTGGAGGGTCATGTCAGAATGAGCCTGCAGGAAGGGTACCGCATGAGGGAGGAGGATGTCTTCCCTGTAACGCACAGCATTGAGATTGCCTGCAATGACAACAAGCTCAGTCTGATGATGCTGTGACACACCGCCCCAGACCATGACGGACCCTCCACCTTCAAATCGATCCTGCTCCAGAGTACAGGCCTCGGTGTAACGCTCATTCCTTCGACGATAAACGCAAATCCGACCATCACCCCTGGTGAGATAAAACCGTGACTTGTCAGTGAAGAGCACTTTTTGCCAGTCCTGTCTGGTCCAGCGACGGTGGGTTTGTGCCCATAGGCGACGTTGTTGCCGGTGATGTCTGGTGAGGACCTGCCTTACAACAGGCCTGCAAGCCCTCGGTCCAGCCTCTCTCAGCCTATTGTGGATAGTCTGAGCACTGATGGAGGGATTGTGCGTTCCTGGTGTAACTCGGGCAGTTGTTGTTGCCATCCTGTACCTGTCCCGCAGGTGTGATGTTCGGATGTACCGATCCTGTGCAGGTGTTGTTACACGTGGTCTGCCACTGCGAGGACGATCAGCTGTCCGTCCTGTCTCCCTGTAGCGCTGTCTTAGGCGTCTCACAGTACGGACATTGCAATTTATTGCCCTGGCCACATCTGCAGTCCTCATGCCTCCTTGCAGCATGCCTAAGGCACGTTCATGCAGATGAGCTGGGACCCTGGGCATCTTTCTTTTGGTGTTTTTCAGAGTCAGTAGAAAGGCTTCTTTAGTGTCCTAAGTTTTCATAACTGTGACCTTAATTGCCTACCGTCTGTAAGCTGTTAGTGTCTTAATGACCGTTCCACAGGTGCATGTTCATTAATTGTTTATGGTTCATTGAACAAGGATGGGAAACCGTGTTTAAACCCTTTACAATGAAGATCTGTGAAGTTATTTGGATTTTTACGAATTATCTTTGAAAGACAGGGTCCTGAAAAAGGACGTTTCTTTTTTTGCTGAGTTTATATTACTCAATCTTAACTGTTACTAAATTCAGTTTTATTTAAAATGGCTCCGTTTAACTGATGTGTTTTCTGTTTGTGTCTTACAGCCGGGTAAACTCGCGGAGGCCTTCAAATACTTTGTCCAGGGAATGGGTTACAGTGAGTACTGCTCCTTATAATCCTCTATCATTATGTTTCCTTCTCAGAGTACTTTAGTCGTCAGACTTGTGTTTTTTCCTGTTCTGGTTGTATCAATATGTTGTTCCATGTGATCTATTGTATGTTCTGTTTACTGAAGTCCCTCTATCTCAGAATGAGACATCAGTCCAACTGATATTCCATAGAACACTACCTTTCAGGCAGCAGCCCTCCCCATGCGGGCATCACAGACACATTTGAGTCATTTAGCAGACGCTCCTATCCAGAGCAACTTAGTTGAGTGCCATGCTCAAGGGCACATCGACACATTTTTCACCTTTTGGTTACTGGCTCAATGGTTTTAATCGCTAGGCTACCTGCCACACACACATTTCTGCCCTAAACTAAGACTCAAGGCTAATGTAGCATTCCTGTAGCACTTCAAGAATAGAGAGGAACCCCAGTAGCTACAAAACAACATTTACTGGATGTTCAAGGATGAAGTTAATGAGAGCCAATTGTTGCATAAGCGTACAAACCATTACTGGTAACTGACCAGGGAACTAACCTCAAGCTAACCTTGTTTCCTGTCTGTTTGCAGTGACTCTTAACAACGGGTGTAAGTAGTTTGATGCTGAGTAAATAATTTACATGCAGCATGGTCTTCCCTTGAACGTACACTACATGGCCAAAGGTATGTGGACATCCCTTCAAATTAGTGGATTTGGTTATTTAAGCCACAACCGTTGCTGACAGGTATATAAAATCGAGCACACAGCCATGCAATCTCCATAGACAAACATTGACAGTAGAATGGCCTTACTGAAGAGCTCAGTGACTTTCAACGTGGCACCGTCATAGGATGCCACCTTTCCAACAAGTCAGTTCGTCAAATTTCTATCCTGCTAGAGCTGCCCCGGTCAACTGAAAGTGCTGTTATTGTGAAGTGGAAACGTCTAGGAGCAACAACGGCTCAGCCGCAAAGTGGTAGGCCACACAAGCTCACAGAACGGAATCGTCTGGCCTCGGTTGCAACACTCACTACCGAGTTCCAAACTGCCTCTGGAAGCAACGTCAGCACAATAACTGTTCGTCAGGAGCTTCATGTAATGGGTTTCCATGGCCGAGCAGCTGCACCCAAGCCTAAGATCAACCCTGTTCTTGACGATTCTGTGCTTCCAACTTTGTGGCAACAGTTTGGGGAAGGCCCTTTCCTGTTTCAGCATGACAATGCCCCTGTGCACAAAGCGAGGTCCATACAGAAATGGTTTGTCGAGATCAGTGTGGAAGAACTTGACTGGCCTGCACAGAGCCCTGACCTCAACCCCATCGAACACCTTTGGAACGCCGACTGCGAGCCAGGCCTAATCGCCCAACATCGGTGCCCGACCTCACTTATGCTCTTGTGGCTGAATAGAAGCAAGTCCCTGCAGCAATGTTCCAACATCTTCTGGATAGCCTTCCCAGAAGAGTGGAGGCTTTTATAGCAGCAAAGGGGGGGACCAACTCCATATTGATGCCCATGATTTTGGAATGAGACGTTCGACAAGCACGTGTCCACATACTTTTGGCAATGTAATGTACCTTGGTGTGTGGGATGATCTGTTCCTTCCCCCAGGTCTTAAGATGCAGTGCCCTAAACAGGGAGGGTGTTTACAGGCCTACCTTTTTAAAGCTGTGGTTCATTTAGGCCTACTGCGAGCAGATCTGGCTTGTTGAATGATAATCATATTACAAACATAGTGTATAGACCACGTATTGGGCACTGTATCTTATAACTGCCAAATTCCATTGGCTGTCTTTGATCACTTTGAGATACTCAGATCTCTTTTTAGCGCTTCAAAATGTTTATATTTTGTTCATATAAACATTTAAGGTTTGAGTTGCTAGCTCACAGAGTGGAAAATGGAAGGTGTTCCAATGAGGTCAGAGTGCTTGATTAGAGTCTTACAATAGTTATTGTTCTCCCTCTGGAATCTTTTCATCTGAACGTTAAGCCTTCTGTGCCTGTGTAAACCTCACTGACAAAACCCTGCACCCCCTTCCACCCCTCGCCTGGCTTGCCCTCACCATCCTCACCTCTGGCCTTCACCCGCCCTCCCCTGGTCCTCACCCCTCCAGTGATGGCTGACTGAGGCTCCAGTGGTTCTCCAGGTATGGTAATGTTAGTGGCAGATTCATGTTCTCATTAAAGGCTGCTCTAAGCCCCACAGCATGGCCTGCCCTGGGGACCTGTCTGGACTCCCATGAGCCCTGAGCTGCCTGGGCAGCCTTTTGTTCTGCTGCCACAGGGACACTCACATGGGGCTGCTGGAGGGTAATGTCAGGAGAGCAGAGCCTCTCTACTCAGAGAACTATGCTGCCTCCGCACAGCACTGTGGGAAGGAACATTTCTCACTGCCTTCTTCCAAATCCTACCCTCTGAGGGTGACCCTTGATGTTTTGTCTGACTACAGAGGCACTCCAAGCCGCTCCCTAAGGGCTGGCCTGGGGTCAGAGGCACTCCAAGCCGCTCCCTACGGGCTGGCCTGGGGTCAGAGGCACTCCAAGCCGCTCCCTAAGGGCTGGCCCGGGGTCAGAGGCACTCCAAGCCGCTCCCTAAGGGCTGGCCCGGGGTCAGAGGCACTCCAAGCCTCTCCCTAAGGGCTGGCCCGGGGTTAGAGGCACTCCAAGCCGCTCCCTAAGGGCTGGCCCGGGGTCAGAGGCACTCCAAGCCGCTCCCTAAGGGCTGGCCCGGGGTCAGAGGCACTCCAAGCCGCTCCCTAAGGGCTGGCCCGGGGTCAGAGGCACTCCAAGCCTCTCCCTAAGGGCTGGCCCGGGGTTAGAGGCACTCCAAGCCGCTCCCTAAGGGCTGGCCCGGGGTCAGAGGCACTCCAAGCCGCTCCCTAAGGGCTGGCCCGGGGTCAGAGGCACTCCAAGCCGCTCCCTAAGGGCTGGCCCGGGGTCAGTTTGGGATTGAGTGGTGGTTTATCCTACGCCCCCTCATTCTTCCACCTCTTGGAGGTTTAGGTCTGTTTGCTTTTCTGCTTGAAGAGTTATTCTGGATACCCATCCTAGTTATTGAAATTAACTATAATTTTCAATGGGATACTGTATAGCTTGAAAAACTATTTTCACTCATCAAACACCGATAGCCCTCCCTTGTCTTGTCTTTCTTGTGAACCCTGTCTCTCTCGAGGTGTTAAGTATGGTGGTTTCCTCCCTGTCTAACCTTTCACACTTTGTTCTTTGCCCACACCAAGCAATAGCAGGTTTCAGAAAGTACCTCCTCTTTCTGAGAATGCATAAACATTGAAACAGTTGAGGACATTGTGAGCCTTCACAAACACATATTGTAGCATACTGTAGAAGGTTTGTAACTCTGTAGCATTCAGACTACGCCTTCTGTCAGTTGGCTCAGCCAAGAAGATCAGCGTTGTGTTAAAAGGAAAGCAGTAAGCTAGCAGGAGAGTGGTTTGAGTGTGAATTGATGAACAGTAGAGCTGGGACGATAAACCGGAAAGTATCGACGCCGACTGTACCGACCATTTATCAAGGACATTTTACTGATATCGATAATCCCAATAAGTGTCCTACTAGAGAAATCTGAAGTTTGAAAGGAAATAAGTCTGCTAATATGGGCTATTGCTAACGGTACAATTGATAGTTACAACATTCAAAGTAGTAGTAGTAGTTTTAAGGGTAAGGTAATATATAAAAGTAGGCTAACAGGTGCAAATGAATGTTATAAACGTATCGTTCTATTTATCGTAATCGTGATAATTCAGTCAATTTATCGTGATATAGATTTGTGTCCATATCACCCAGCTCTATTGAACAGTCAAGTGCTCTTCGAGGCCCTGTTTGAATGTTGTTTGAAAGGTTACTTTAGGTCGAGAGACTGTAGTTCAGTGGGGAAATTATCGCAGTGGGGACACATTCAACTAACTCAACTGGATCAGACGATGTACTCGTGGAGCACATCTTGGCTAAAAGTCCTCTTCAAGTAATCTCAGGGCCACAGGGGACATTCCCTTTAGTTTGACTGAACAGTGAGAAAGCCTTGGAAGAGACACATTCTGGCTATTTTGACAACTGTCAGGTATTTACTGAAAATGAATGGAAAAGGATATAGTGCTAGAATGCTCTGTACATGGTGCTGCTTCAAGTCTCTCCTAGGTAAAGCTGTAGGACACAATGTTTGTTTCTTTTCAGATCTTTTGTGAAGACGGAGCATTAATCTGACAGTCTCTCTGTTACCCTCCTTTATTTCTTCCCTCCTTTCCTCCTTCCTTTCTGCCCCTCCATCAATGCTAACAGTCCCTCATGTACTGCTTAGCCACCTAAGCAGCGAATCAGGTACCAGGACCATAGGTAGCAGCCTTGGCTGCGCCAGCCTGCCCTCTCTACCTACAGTGCTCTGTCCTCCCAACCCTGTTTGCCCATCACTGTTAGCCGGCTCACATTTTAGCCATCCTCTCAAGTCTCTAATTTGGCGACCATGAGATTTGAAGCATGTGGTCATAACTATTATTATTTTTTAAGATTCCTTTATGTCTCTAAATGTGTGGTTTGAGAGGGTGTGGATGTTTGTGATGTCTGTCTGTTTGTTCTTGTCTTTGTTATGTTTCTCTTCTGAACAGATGGCCCTCAAATCTCTTGTGCATGCTGCATAATCATATTGGCTTTTCCTATTTATTCATTTTTTCTCCAACAGTAAAAATGAATTGGAACTTGACCTGATCAGGCAATCTCTTTTTCTTTATGGGAGAATAATGAACACAGTGAGGGATTCTGCTCAGACATTTCAGACCCCAACCACTTTAATGAGATGCATATACATACAGTACTTTCTGAAATATGGTGAAATATCCAGCATTCCTGCTTCGCTGTAATCTACTTGACCCTGACTAAAAGGCAGCGTAGCTAGCACGAGCTCAACAGTACATGGTGATCAGGTTATCAGGTGTTTAGAGATTTCATTATTCTCCCTGGGCTGCAGTCCACTCCATCTTAAATTGGGAATGTTGATGCAATAATGATTGTGGTATGATCTACCAGGGGCCTCATTTACAAACATTGCGTATGCACAGAATATGCCCCAAAACATTTTATAAAAACTGAACTTGACGTGAGAATGTTCTTATCCTCCTGCAAACTTTTGACCATGCGTACGCACAGTTTCTAGTGGTTGAAGTATTGCATTGCAAGAAGGCAAAAGTAGCCTACTAGCCTTATGCAAATATGGGGATAGACTGTATGCTGACTTATTCATAACAAACAAACAGGTAACTAAATATAATAACAAGATGTAATCATTTCCTGTTAGTGAGAAGAGCCAAAAATCTATTTATTTTATCTTTGCATTCTAAAATAATTAGAAATCTATTTCAGAATATTTATTTCATTTCCATGATCATTGCAGAATAAACTCCTCACCTTTTCTGACTGATTGTTTCATACTCGTGAAATAGCCTAAAGGTCTACAACAAGTTAGGATGGGCTACCATTTTGTCTAATTTAATTGGACCCACTTCACAGTAGTAAATAGATAAGTTACTGGTATTTAAAGTATTTTGCTCTATGCGATCCGAAGCACAGTTTACATTTTACGTTTTAGTCTTAACGGTAGAACAGACGGTTCACCTTTTCCATTGACGTTTGTTGGCTACGTCTGAATAATGTAATGTAATGTAACATTTCTCCAGTAGCCTAGAAATGTATAAACATAATGCATGTATCATAACCAATTGCACCTTTTCTGGCCATGATGAGTTCATATTCCCCAAGTAGCCATGCAACAGATTACCATGAGCATCTCTCATTTAATTGGGCCTATCAGATAGGCTATTATAATTTCAGGTTTTTGCTCTATGCATCCGAAAAGGAGTGTGGTTTATAACATACAGTAGAATTTAAAACGGTTGATCTTTTGCATTGAAGTGTGTCGGCTACCACTGTAAGTAGTCCTACTGTAGTTTTGTTTTCAGATTAGACAATGTTTCAGAATTCACGGGCAGTGCAGCATATTTAGGTTCGGGAGAAAGTAAATTAAAAACATTTATTGAATTCAAACGATCTGTTTACAGGTCCAGAACAATTTGCAATTGTTTTAGTGTTTCAGAAACTGTCAAATATAGCAAATGTCACAAAAGTAAAACACATTCTGCCAACACCTCCAAAGACATTTGATCAAGTTCGCCATTGCTATTTCCTTTAGATATACTGTCTTGGCTTAATTCCAATACTTCCAAAGTATACAGGAAATAAGGGTATTATTGTCACCTTAAAGGGTGAATGATGGGTGTTATTTAGGTGGAGATATAATGCTCATTCACACGTGCAGTTTTACGACAGGTCTGATTTATAATGGGAAACATGCGTATGTATGGCCTGCGCCAAGTTTATAAACCTCAATATTTTTGTGCGTGTCCAGTGTTTTCAGAAATGGCGCACGCAGATATTTAGTGTAAAATTCACGCAACGGTTATAAATGAGGCCCCAGCATCCTACCCCTAGCCACGTTCTCTAAAGCAAGCTACCCCTCCCACAAAACATTCAACACACACTAAGCAAATATCGTCATACGTGACTTCTTAACCTAAACGCTCTCCTCTATCTCTCTCTCTCTCTCTCTCTCTCTCTCTCTCTCTCTCTCTCTCTCTCTCTCTCTCTCTCTCTATCTCTATCTCTCTCTCTCTCGTCTGTAGTGCCCACGGCCAGTATGACCCGGCTGGTGCGTTCTCGTACCCACTCTGCCTCCAGCATGGGCTCTGTGGAGGGGACCCGTAGCCGCACCCACACACAGCTAGAGGGTACCACTGCCGCCGGCCCGGCTGTCGAACAGGCCAGGCCACAGACCATGGAGGTTTCCTGCTAAAGAACCCTGCCCAGAAAACCAACACCTCCCCCTTCCTCTCTCTCTCTCTCTCTCTCTTTTTCCTTTCCCAAGCTCAAGGTCAGAGAGGGTTGGAATCCCGAGGGGGCGTCTGAAACGTGTTCTGAAAGATAAATTATTAAGACCGAAGCAGTCAGGTTCTCTGCTGCGTTCTCTCTCTCACCATTTCCTGTTGTTGTCTGTCTGTCATGCCTGTCTGTGCATGACTGCTGTGGCACGGCAACCTGGAAGTCAGTAAGCAGGCGGACGATGCTGCTTGTCTGGTTTTCCATTTTGCTGTACCAGCTCTCCCCATTAAAAGAGGGAGAGGTTATTTTTTTTAAATCCTTGAGATATGAGGTATATTTGTATTTATATAACTACTATTTCAGTCAGTGTGTCAGTTTAAAGAGAACAGATGGAAAAGCATCAGGAGTTTTCTCTTGTAAAGTACTCTACAGAGTACTGTTGCCCCTCTTTCTGTCTCCCTCTGGGTTCTTTCTCACCTTATGTGCAGATCAGACCAAATCACACCACCCCCCTCTACCCCACCCCCCCCTCTACCCCACCCCTCCTTAGTGGTCCATTCCTTAATCAGTCTCATGACACACAATCTATTTTTTCTTTTTTTTAATTGTTGTTTTTATGTTGTGGTTTGTGAAAAAATAACTTTGCTTTCCTGGATTGCAAAACGATGTGATAAACTTGCTCCTGCTCTGTACCTTTATACCTAGAATATCTAACAGAATTACCCTCTAGTAGATGAAACGTAATGGACGTGTCTGTATAATTGCTTTTGTCTAGATGTATCTAGAAATAGTTACCTTGTTTGATATTTTGTTTATTTTCTCTTTCAAGCAAGTTATTTGAAATGGCAGACCCTAGGTTTTTGATACCCCCATTGCTATTGACGGGCAGAGAAAAGAACCAACCCACTGGGCACAGATGTCAATTCAATGTGTATTCCATGTTGGTTCAATGTAATTTCATTGAAATTATGTGGAAACAATGTTGATTCAACCAGTGTGTGCCCAGTGGAAACATTTACTGTAGTTTATTGAAGATTCAAGACAAATGCGGAGAGTACCTAAACTTGCCCCAGCTCAGTCAGAGGCGAGTAACCGTGTGCAAGTTGAGGTACAGATAACATTACTGCCTCTTTCATAAAATAAAACTCAATTATATGAATGTACTATTTTCTACTAACTGGAAGCAATTCATGTTTTCCTTTTCTGATTAAATAAAGACCGGGTGAAAACAGCAACGGGTCAGGTGCCTGGGGGACTGTGGATAGTGTAATAGACTTTTTGATTTAGTTATTAATGTTATTAGTTGGTAGTTTTCTCTGTGGTTTTCCTGCATTTCTCTCTGATTGTACTACAGCTTGGGTGAGCTAGTGGTGATGATGCATTGTACTGTCTGCATAGTATACGGGGTGCTGTAAGTCATACTGTCTGCTGACTATATCAATTTGTACTGATCATAAAATAAAGCTAAAAACTATACATGACTGGACTTTTCATCATATCCTTCTGTCACTGGCAATGTCTGTGTTTTCTTACTTGGTAAGCTAGCCTAATAGAATAGTGTTCCTTTGTAGCTCAGTTGGTAGAGCATGGTGCTTGTAACGTCAGGGTAGGTGGGTTCAATGCCTGGGAACACCCCATGTCAATTAGCCATGTCCGCTAATCATTTTTTGATTGGTTAGTTCCTCTAGCCAACTATCTAAACCAGTGGCGGTCTGTGCCGTTTAAGACGAGGGAGGATGATTACAGCATATTGGATGACTGTCATTCATATTCCATTCACCCAGCTCAATGTAACATCGATAGGTTTAGGCTACTACATAATACTCAAATCGGCACAATGAATATCCCCCCTGATCACAGGGGGCCCCGTGTAGCTCAGTTGGTAGAGCATGGCGCTTGCAACGCCAGGGTTGTGGGTTCGATTCCCACGGGGGGCCAGTATGAAAAAATGTATGCACTCACTAACTGTAAGTCGCTCTGGATAAGAGCATCTGCTAAATGACTAAAATGTTTAAAAATCACACGCATTTCACTTTCATACCAGACACATACAAACAGCTCGTTGTATATATAATTCCCCTTGCTTGTGGACTTCAGTGCAGAACACAACAGCTGTCTTGTGAACAGGCAAAAAAAACTTTACAAGCCAAACCTTCATATCATGACTGCTAACTGCTACACACAGCCTACATCATTGTCACGTCATAGTCAACATAGGAATAGCTACTAGAACTAAGGCGTTAGTAAACCTGTTACAGTCATGCAGAACCCTGTAGTCAACAGCAAGCAGTTTAGCAGTTACACCAAGCAGTTTAGCAGTTACACCAAGCAGTTTAGCAGTTACACCGGCGGACCCCAGTGGCAATAAATTAATAAAGCCAAAAGCTTGCCTTGACTTGGAAGAGTTCCAGTTTTGGATAGCAATAGCCAGCTAGTTAACATAGAACCCCTCTCTGTTTGAGTAGGCTAAACTAGCTAGCTACATTGGACACTTCTTAATTTTAGGAGAAATTAATTTGTGAAAAACTGTTCAACTATTGTCTTTCTCGCTCTTTGAGTCAACTACCACATTTTATGCACTGCAGTGCTAGCTAGCTGTAGCTTATGCTTTCAGTGCTAGATTCATTGTCTGATCCTTTGATTGGGTGGACATCATGTCAGTTCATGCTGCAAGAGCTCTTATAGATTGGAGGACGTCCTCCGGAAGTTGTCATAATTACTGTGTAAGTCTATGGAAGGGGGTGAGAACCCTGAGCCTCCTAGGTTTTGTATTGAAGTCAATGTACCCAGAGGAGGACAGAAGCTAGCTGTCCTCCGGCTACACCATGGTGCTACCCTACAGAGTGCTGCTGAGGCTACTGTAGACCTTCATTGCAAAACAGTGTGTTTTAATCAATTGTTTGGTAATGTGAACATTTAGTATAGTTTTATCTAAAAATGACAACATTTTTTTATGTTTCACTTTTTCTTTTTATGAAATTCACTGATGTGAATGGTCCTCCCCTTCCTCCACTGATCCGAACTTGTAGTAATCATGGCCGAATGACTGGGCACGTGCAAGGCCGGACTACCACATTTGGGGACCCGGGGCATTGACCTCTGGAGAGTTAAGTTACTGCATTACAACACATTTTGCCATGGTGCAGAGGAAAATGTGCAGCTTTATAATGCTTTTGTGGCCCATATCTCTTGATAATGAGTACAATAGGGTTATGAAGAGAAAAATAATTGCTCAACACTTTGTCCCAGTCAACACCCTTTACCTGAATGACGAAGAATATGAAGCTCAAAAACTATTCTGGGGAAAGATGTTGTGACCTCACTTCACACCAGTGTTCTATGCCACCGCTCATGCAAATGCTGCTGCAAAACAGAACATTTGCACAGACCAATTGCTACAGCTGATGACTCATTGATCAAGTCACTGACATCAAAGGTCTGTCTGTGCCGATCACTACAGCCCCATGTACAGTAGATATTGTTGAACAAAATCTTTCTTCCTTTCTCTTTGTGCCTCACTTTTTCTGTCTTCCCTCACTCTTCTCCATTTCGCTCTCTTCGCTCTGATGTCTCTGAATTGTGGTGCGTAAAAGTTTCAGGCCTCATTGAAACAGGAAACCGTGTGTGAATATAAAAAAACCTCCTGTGACGTCTCTCCACTCAGATGTACTACAGAGCACTCTGCACTGCTACACCTACAGAGCCTCTACCTACCACCACTGGCTCCTTTCCCCTTGGAACACCACAAAGGAGAACACTCTTTCTTCATTGGAGCTTAAAGAACTCTCACACAGACACACACATCGTACGCTCGTTCCACATGTGAACACTACCAGCAGTGTGAAACTCCCAGACCCACTGGACTCTTCCGCCCTCTGGGCTGCACCTCTATCCTTGTGCTACTCTACGGTGGGACTCTACAGCTCTGCCATCAACCCATTCCACAGCATCAGAAGACTGACGATCACCAGTGCCACAACAGGGAAATGCTGTGAGTATGAACTTATTTTCAAGCTGACAATTGTCTAATCGACCTCATTGTACTGTACACGTAAAATGTTGTAGCTTTATCCAACCCCGATTTAAAGTATTAAAAGCATACTTTTTTGCTTTAACAAAGAACAAGGTCAAGTAAACATACACTGAGTGTACAAAACATTAGCAACACTTTCCTAATATTGAGTTGCACCCCATTTTGCCCTCAGAATAGCATCAATTTGTCAGGGTCATGGACTCTACAAAGTGTCGAAAGCGTTCCACAGGGATGCTGGCCCACGTTGACTCCAATGCTTCCCACAGTTGTAATCAAGTTGCCTGGATGTCCTTTGGGTGGTGGACCATTCTTCATACACACAGAAAACTGTTGAGCGTGAAAACCCCAGCAGCATTACAGTTCTTGACACACTCAAACCGGTGCGCTTGGCACCTACTACCATACCCCGTTCAAAGGCTTATAAATATATATATATATATATATATATATATATATATTTTATATTTTTTGTCATTTAGCAGACGCTCTTATCCAGAGCGACTTACAGGAGCAATTAGGGTTACGTGCCTTGCTTAAGGGCACATCGACAGATTTTTCACCTAGTCGGCTCGGGGATTAGAACCAGCGACCTTTCGGTTACTGGCACAACGCTCTTACCCACTAAGCTACCTGCCGCCCCTATTCACCCTCTGAATGGCACACATACACAATGCATGTCTCAATTGTCTCAAGCCTTAAAAATCCTTCTTTAACTTGTCTCCTCCCATTCATCTACAGTGATTGAAGTGGATTTAACTAGTGAAATCAATAAGGGATCGTAGTTTCACCTGGTCAGTCTGTCATGGAAAGAGCAGGTGTTCTTAATGTTTTGTACACTCAGGTTATAGGACAAACTGATCTTATATGAAGAAAAAAAATTTTTTTGCTTAAATGAATACTGTAGCTTGGTGTCCAGCCAGGCCTAGACCCCTCTGAATAAAAGTGTCTGCTAAATGTCATGCATACACTACATATACAAAAGTATGTGGACACCCCTTCAAATTAGTGGATTCGGCTATTTCAGCCACACCCTTTGCTGACAGGTGTATAAGAGTGAGCACACAGCCATGCAATCTCCATAGACAAACATTGGCAGTAGAATGGCCTTACTGAAGAGCTCAGTGACTTTCAACGTGGCACCTTTTCAAACAAGTCAGTTCGTCAAATGTCTGCCCTGCTAGAGCTGCCCCGGTCAACTGTAAGTGATGTTATTGTAAAGTAGAAACGTCTAGGAGCAACAAAGGCTCAGCCACGAAGTGGTAGGCCACACAAGCTCACAGAACGGGACCGCTGAAGCATCTAGCGCGTAAAAGTAATCTGTCCTCGGTTGCAACACTGACCACGAGTTCCAAATTGCCTCTGGAAGAAACGTCAGCACAATAACTGTGTGTCGGGAGCTTCGTGAAATGGGTTTAAGAGCCATGTAAATAGCTTAAGATCACCATGTGCAATGCCAAGCGTCGGCTGGAGTGGTGTAAAGCTCGCCGCCATTGGACTCTGGAGCAGTGAAAACGCATTCTCTGGAGTGATGAATCACGCTTCACCATCTGGCAGTCCGACGGACAAATCTGGGTTTTACCGGATGCCAGGAGAATGCTACCTGTCCAAATGCATAGTGCCAACTGTAACGTTTGGTGAAGGAGGAATAATGGTCTGGGGCAGTTTTTCACGGTTTGGGCTAAGCGCTTAGTTCCAGTGAAGGGAAATCTTAACTCTACAGCATACAATGACATTCTAGATGATTCTGTGCTTCCAACTTTGGCAACAGTTTGGGGAAGGCCCTTTCCTGTTTCAGCATGACAATGACCCCGTGCACAAAGCGAGGTCCATTCAGAAATGGTTTGTCGTGATCGGTGTGAAAGAACTTGACTGGCCTGCACGGAGCCCTGACCTCAACCCCATCGAACGTCTTTGGAATGAATTGGAACGCTGACTGCGAGCCAGGCCTAATCGCCCAACATCAGTGCCCGACCTCACTAATGCTCTTGTGGCTGAATGGAAGCAAGTCCCCGCAGCAATGTTCCAACATCTAGTGGAAAACCTTCCCAGAAGAGTGGAGGCTGTTATAGCAGCAAAGGGGGGACCAACTCCATATTAATGCCCATGATTTTGGAATGAGATGTTCTATATTACATATTATTATTATTATTATTATATTGCCTCTCCTGTGTTTCCTGGCCCCTGGTTGGCAGACTGACTACTGTGGTTGATAATGGTCATCTGTTCTCTGTTATAATGGAACATTAGAGAGCAGGATATTTTCCTCCGTTATACTGTAAATGGGGTCTGCTTTTCTGTCTGTCTATCCCCATGACCCTGTGGTGCCATCTGGCTAAACAGGTAGTCATTTTCTCAATGATTGTGCTACGTGCCATATTACAGAGCATTGAGGGAAAATATTATGAGATTTTTCATGCCAATATATTTCATATGACTATTTCTGAAATTACCATCTATTTTTTTGTCAAAATTGGATAAAACCACAGCCGGGTATGAAAGGTGTTTACAAAAAGACAGCATTTTCTACTCCAGGATATCCTGTCACTTTTATATTTGACTCCAGTGTTCAGACAAACACACCTGATGTCTGTTAGGATGCTTGAGTTCTCATGCATTACTTGTTACAGTAAACTATGTTGCAGATTACGACACAAAATGTTTCACATTATCCAGTGGTTTCTGCATCAGTGTGTTGCTGCGAACTAATTTACCTATCCTCCGGGGTTCTTGTGGAGCAGAAGGTTGCCATGAAATGTAATATTTGTCACATGTGTGTTTATGCAAATCACCAATGCATGACACATCAACTAGTTGCTCACAAAAGACTGCATGTTCTATTATGTGTTCTAATATTGTTCTTTATTTAGCCGAAAGCCCCTTAATTACCTTGATAACCAGCACCTTGACAACAAGCAGCCCATGTGTAAAAACAAGTGTGTGGTTGGAAACTAAAGTGTGTTTCAGAAGAGTGGTTTTCAACTTCCTCCCTCCTTTTGTTTGAGGTGTGACTGACTAGCTGCCTGACGAATACAGTAATTGTATTTTAAATTCCCTTGATATTGTTTTTGATATATATGATCTGTAATAAGTTAGTGAATTGTGATTGATGCAATAGTATGCATAGAAAACATGTCTCCTGAGTGGCGCAGTGGTCTAAGGCACTGCATCGCAGTGCTAACTGTGCCACTAGAGATCCTGGTTCGAATCCAGGCTCTGTCGCAGCTGGCCGCGACCGGGAGTCTCATGGGCGGCGCACAATTGGCCCAGGGTAGGGGAGGGAATGGCCGGCAGGGATGTAGCTCAGTTGATAGAGCATGGCGTTTGCAACGCCAGGGTTGTGGGTTTGTTTCCCACGGGGGGCCAGTATAAAAAAATATGTATTCACTAACTGTAAGTCGCTCTGGATAAGAGCGTCTGCTAAATGACTGTAAATGTAAATGTAAATGTAAATGTCTCTACCCATATGAAGAGTTTCATTACAAAATGCTATATATATTATAAATGTTGATAAATTAGCTTTTATTGTTTCAAGAAATTATGAAAAAGATTGGTGTTTTTTTCTAATCATGGCACGGAGTGGTTCAATGACAAATGTATTTGTTTAAAATATATCACTTCATGGTTTAATTTCAGAGAGACAATCATTTTTTATTTTTTCAAATTGCAATTTATAATTTATTTAACCTTTATTTAACTAGGCAAGTCAGTTAAGAACAAATTCTTATTTACAATGACGGCCTACCCCGGCCAAACCCGGACGACGCTGGGCCAATTGTGCGCCGCCCTATGGGACTCCCAATCATGGCCGGATTGTGATACAGCCTGGAGTTGAACCAGGGTCTGTAGTGACGCCTCTAGCACTGAGATGCAGTGCCTTAGAAATAAGTAGTACTGCTAGGTTTTACACAGTCAAATGTAACAAATAACTAAAGTTTTTACTTTAATTATACATTTGTGACATCAATTAAAACATGTTTTTATATACTTAAATACAGTAATATGAGATCTATATATAAAACATTTACATTTTAGTCATTTAGCAGATGCTATTATCCAGAGCGACTTACAGTAAGTGCATTCAACTTAAGATAGCTAGGTGAGGCATCCACATATCACAGTCAAATATACAGGATACGAACATTCCATTCAAGCTAAACAATGGATATATAATGTATTGCAAAAAAACAAACATTTTCATACACATCTAAAATCTATGAATAAAAAATCTGAGCACAGTAATATTTTACACACACATGCAATCATTTCTGATGAAAAAACACATGTGAAACATTTGTGGATATAGCATTTTGGAAATAATAGGCTATTAATTAATACCTGTGATTCCCCCCAACCCACAGAGTCCTCTGGTGACCCATAAGAGCTCCACATCGCCATGGGCAGTTGGTCCAGTAAAGAGTGTCCGGGATCCAGCACTCAGGCAGCCTTGCTGGGCCAGGAAGAGCCCACTGAGTCTGTCATACTAGGTAAGGCATGGCCTCCCATCTCGGTCTGAGCACAGCACAAGACTCTGGGAAACAGGCCAGTACTAGCCTCTCTCAGATGTGCAATGTCCTCAGAGGTCAGTCTACCTGGGGTTGTCTTGACTGAAACCTATAGGGAATTGGAAGTGTGCACAACAGCCAGGTCTATTTATGGTTAAGGACAATCATTGGATGACCTGCATCTGATTTCAACTTTCAGATCGAAACAATGCAGACATTTTTTTTGTTCATGTTTCTATGGATACATGGTGTGGTGATGCCCCAGATGTTTAGATGTTTAGCCCCTCCGTTAAGTATGACCATAGTTGGTGTGCAAGACAGAGGGAAAAAAAACAGACCTGGTCTTCTGTTGAACCACCAGAGGCGAGAAGCGCGAGTGTGAAATAACTCAATTCGCCTTTGCACTCCTTCTAAACAATGCCATTTTTTAAAACTTTGGCAAAGGGTAAAGTCTACAAAACTTTGTCCACTCTGTTCGTAACAGGTTCTAGTTTTTGGAACAGAAAACTGTATTGAGATCAAATGTTTAAATCAGTGGGAAATTAACCGAATGTCGGCCCAAATCCATCTCCTTCCATCTTCTCCCACTGCCAGCCACTGGACTTCATCTCAGCACCATACTTGGTAGTGATTGGAAACGCCAAGCGGATGCTTCACATTTATACATCCGGTGAAATATCTGTTTCATTGTTCGATCTGTGGCTGTACTCCCTCTGGTCACCCTCTAGAAACGGTGTGAAACCAGGTGACATTGAATTCCTCAAGATGTTAGTTGATGAAGATCACATCAATCATTTTGCTCATTTTTGTTTTTGTAACTTGGAAGTGTCTTGCCTAACCATGACTACTCAAGTTCAAAGTGTGAAGTACAAACATACATGTACAATGATATTTTATCCCAAATGCAGTGCTTTTTGTATCATTTTTTCCCCCCCTCAGCATGAAAATACTGTGTTGTCATGGTTTGCGGTTCTCCTAGTAGACTGACACTAATGTTTTGTGTATCTGTTCTGTCTACAGAGAGCAGCAGCTATGTGGTAGTGGCCCTGTATAACTATCCCACTGGACACCCAGCACACTGCAGCATCCGTGCCGGAGAGAGACTCGACGTGCTTTCAGAGTAAGAAACCATAGCCTCTGCATACAACTACCATAATTACTACTGCTACTGTGATGTGTGGTTTTTCCTGTAATAACCTAGGTATCTCTTGTGTTTCTGTGAATGTGCATGTCTACATAGTGAGGGGGAGTGGTGGAAGGTGAGTTCCTCTGCCACAGGCAATGAGAGCTACATCCCCAGCAACTACACAGCCAGGGTGTACCACCGGTTAGTCCACTGATCCATCTGACTATTCCCCTTAGAATATCTATTTACATGGCTCTGTCTATTTCTATGGCTGACTCTATCTCTCTTTTCTCATCCTAGGTGGCAGTATGAGGGTCTCAGCCGGAAAAAAGCTGAGGAGCTCCTGTTGCTGCCCTATAACCAGACTGGCTCTTTTCTGGTCCGCGAGAGTCAGACCCGCCCTGGTCAGTTCAGGTCACATTCCAGGCTACACATGATCAAACGCTAAACAAGAACAGGGAAAACCATCTTAAAAAACCTTGTTGATAAACCCGAAGTGATAATAGGTTGTGACTGAAGTATGGTCTACACTCTAGGTGCCAACTCCCTGTCGGTGCGTAAGAGCAGTGACCAGGATCGTCGCTCAGTCAAACACTACCGGATCCAACAACTGGACAACGGCTGGCACTACATCTCCCCTGGCCTCACCTTCCCCAACCTCAGAGCCCTGGTGGACCACTACTCCGGTCAGCATAGGTGGTTTAAAGCGTTTACAGTAGTGTAGAAAATGCTGACAGCTGTAGTTACAACTTTTCAAGCCCTTTTGTGTCCAACCCACGCATTTGAACCTTTGCACAAGTAGCAGTGGGTTAAAAGCTGGGGACACTTAAAGTGTTGTCAGTCATTATATTGTAGCATTCATGTTAAGGCTGAGTTGTAACAGACTGATTGACCTCTCCTTCCAGAGGTCGCTGATGGGCTGTGCTCTCTGCTGGGGGAGCCCTGCTTCATCCAGGGGTCCAACAACGTTCCCGTGGTTACTGGCTCACCCCCCATGTCTGTCAGGAAGCCCACCCTCAACTGGAAAGATATGGACAGGTGAGGTAATTTACTGTTGTGGTACAGTAATAAGGTGCCAGTCAATTGAAATCAATTCATTAGGCCCTCATCTATGGATTTCACTGGGCAGGGGCACAGCCATGGGTGGGCCTGGGAGGGCACAGGCTCAACCACTTGGGAGCCAGGCTCAGCCAATCAGAATGAGTTTTCCCCCCACAAAAGGGCTTTATTACAGACAGAAATACTCCTCAGTTTCATCAGCTGTCCGGGTGGCTGGTCTCAGACGATCCCGCAGGTGAAGAAGCCGGATGTGGAGGTCCTGGGCTGGTGTGTTTACACGTGGTCTGCGGTTGTGAGGCCGGTTGGACGTACTGCCAAATTCTCTAAAATGATGTTGGAGGCGGCTTATGGTAGAGAAATTAGCATTCAATTATCTGGCAACAGCTCTGGTGGAAATGTATGCAGTCACCATGCCAATTGCACACTCCCTCAAAACTTGAGACGTCTGTGGCATTGTGTTGTGACAAAGCTGCACATTTTATAGTGGCATTATTGTTCCCAGCACAAGGTGCACTTGTGTAATGATCATGCTGTTTAATCAGCTTATTGATATGCCACACCTGTCAGGTGGATATATTATCTTGGCAAAGGAGAAATGCTCACTAACAGGGATGTAAGCTTTGTGCATATGGAACATTTCTGGGATATTTTATTTCAGCTCAAGAAACATGGTACCAACACTTTACATGTTGCATTTATATTTTTGTTTAGTATATATTTCTTTGTCAGCATTTCCTCACTAATGGGGGTTCTCTATGTCTGTCTGCAGCTCCATGATTTTTGGCAAGGACAAAGGCCAGGACAATGAGGATTCCCTGGTGAGCGAGGGATTGAGAGAGGCCATCAAATCCTACCGCTTCATGACAGAGGACTGCAAAGGCTGCAGCCAGAAATGGGACAGCTGAGCATGGATCTGGCTTCATAAAGACAGGGAGATACTCAGATGAAAAGACTGTAAGATGGAGAGCTTCACAACAAGCTACTCATTGAGGCTGAGGGGATCCTGAGGACCAGACATTCTGGCCATGATCCCAATGGATCTCTAACATTAAAGGAATGTTGTTGAGGGAACTGGAAATCACAACTCAACCGCTGCAGAGAACCATGGTTCTCAAAGCTATGGTTGTAGAGTGCTCAACATTACATTGCCAAGCAGCTGAGGCCCATCTTTGTTTGGATTCATGACCAGAATATATTTTTAGATCCTGGAGGCAGACTATGCTAGACTTGACAGAAAGAAGGGAGTATCTGTCCCCATAGGAATACAAGTGTGTCAGAACAAATCCAACTGATTATATGTTGTAACATGAAACAAGTGTCCTGAAAGAGAGATGACCAAATGATGCTCATTGTGTGCATGATCTCTGTAATGTTAAACTAAATAGTAGGTATGAAGAGAGTGACATGATATGTTGAAATATCATGATCTTTGATAGACTGTGTATTGAAATGTTCCATTCAACCTTGCTCATGATTATGAGTAACCACAGCTGATTACAATGTTCCTTACAGAAAGTAGTTTGAAAGTGAGATATACAGCCATATGAAAGTGATCCCGTAACATCAATAACAAGACTATTTGGTTGGTTTTGTTGAAGTGTGCTACCTTGAAAACAAGGAACTGTGAGGTATAAAAATGAGTCTGTTCGACGTATGTGATTTCTGTTCTGAACATTAACACCTTTTAGCTGTTGCTTGTTCTCCTCCGCACCACAGTCTTGACTTTGGCACAGGAAATGGTCAAGGTGCAGAGGAAAGAATGATGGCGTGGCAGAGAGAGACAGCAGAAAGTTGAGATAGTGGTAAAGAGCATCTCAAAGTTATGTAAAATATTATGGTATGAAACACTGAAATGTTTTTATGTGGTTTCATCAACAAACAATATATTATGTTCTCAATATCGAGTTTCGTGATATTTTTTTTGGGGTGAATTTCTTTTTTTTTTACTATTCTACATTCAAATGTTTTGGTTTTTCACAAATCAGATAATTTTCAATGCATAAATAACCAAATACATTACAAAGGAGATTCACACATAAAGTGGCACGTATTTGGTGTACCCTTCTTTACTACTGTATCGTCTTATATCGCCACCTCCTGGAAGAAATGCATAGGCCGTCAGGTTGGCGGAGAGGCATAGGCCGTCAGGTTGGCGGAGAGGCATAGGCCGTCAGGTTGGCGGAGAGGCATAGGCCGTCAGGTTGGCGGAGATGCATAGGCCGTCAGGTTGGCGGAGAGGCATAGGCCGTCAGGTTGGCGGAGAGGCATAGGCCGTCAGGTTGGCGGAGATGCATAGGCCGTCAGGTTGGCGGAGAGGCATAGGCCGTCAGGTTGGCGGAGAGGCATAGGCCGTCAGGTTGGCGGAGATGCATAGGCCGTCAGGTTGGCGGAGAGGCATAGGCCGTCAGGTTGGCGGAGATGCATAGGCCGTCAGGTTGGCGGAGAGGCATAGGCCGTCAGGTTGGCGGAGAGGCATAGGCCGTCAGGTTGGCGGAGAGGCATAGGCCGTCAGGTTGGCGGAGATGCATAGGCCGTCAGGTTGGCGGAGATGCATAGGCCGTCAGGTTGGCGGAGAGGCATAGGCCGTCAGGTTGGCGGAGATGCATAGGCCGTCAGGTTGGCGGAGATGCATAGGCCGTCAGGTTGGCGGAGATGCATAGGCCGTCAGGTTGGCGGAGATGCATAGGCCGTCAGGTTGGCGGAGATGCATAGGCCGTCAGGTTGGCGGAGATGCATAGGCCGTCAGGTTGGCGGAGAGGCATAGGCCGTCAGGTTGGCGGAGATACATAGGCCGTCAGGTTGGCGGAGATGCATAGGCCGTCAGGTTGGCGGAGATGCATAGGCCGTCAGGTTGGCGGAGATGCATAGGCCGTCAGGTTGGCGGAGATGCATAGGCCGTCAGGTTGGCGGAGATGCATAGGCCGTCAGGTTGGCGGAGACGTCAGGTACCCGCTACACACACGTCATGCCTATTCAAATGACTTCCCCGTTATCCGTTTAGTGTGTTGTTGTTGCATTTGTTCAACATTTAATCAGTGTATTTAGCTGTTATCCTATACCTTGTTTCTTCATGCTTAGGTTGCTGTGCACTACTAGTTTGGGTGTAATTCATGTCTTTACACTGATCAACAATGCAAAAGGACAAGAGTTTAAAGAGCTGCAACTACAGTCCCTTCAGAAAGTATTCACACCCCTTGACTTTTTTTCCACATTTGGTTGTGTTACAGCCTGAATTTAAATCTAGGGCAACACTTGAAAATGGCTGTCTAGCAATAGTCAACAACTTGACAGAGCTTGAAGAATCTTTTAAAGAATAATGTGCAAATATTGTACAATCCATGTGTGCAAAGCTCTTAGGGACTTACCCAGAAAGTCTCACAGCTGTAATCACTGCCAAAGGTGATTCTAAAATGTTTTGACTCGGGGTGTGAATACTTATGTAAATTAGACATTTCTGTGTTTATTTTTTAATAAATGTGCAAACATTTCTAAAACATAATTCCACTTTGACATTATGGGGTATTGTTTGTAGGCCAGTGACAAAATAAATTCAGGCTGTAACACAACAAAATGTGGAAAAAGTAAAGGGGGTGTGAATACTTTCTGAAAGGAAAGGAAAGGGCGATACCTAGTCAGTTGTACAACTGAATGCATTCAACTGAAATGTGTCTTCCGCATTTAACCCAACCCCTCTGAATCAAAAGGCATTGTATATTAGTCATCACTGTAGATTAGTCTTTCAGAACATGAAACTTGTTAACCCTTTCCATCTTGCATGTATTTTTCTCTGCACGATGTTTGGCCTATTTTTTTCTGTGCCTCTGTCGGAAAATAATAATGTGTGGGCACACCAATCAGCATGGTGGATTTGCCATCGTGTTGTAAAGAGCCTGCGTGCTGGCCGCTCTGATGAACTCTCATTCCGCCACTGAGTCATTACTTAAGAACTTCAGATGTATCACGTAAATCAAGTGCTGTTCGCATGCGGAAATGTCATGGGATGCATTTGCTCCATTGTTAACATTTTTGTTAGTGGCCCTGTCTTTGAGGGTATTCACAAATTAAGCAGTGTGATTCATCACCAGCTCCACAAACCCCGCTGGCTTGCCAACTTCAACATACCATCACCATGCTTCCTCCATTCCTGAAAAGGTGTGGCTTTAAAGTGGCACTCCAGTCTGATTTTCACCTCATTTTAACACCAGATTTACTTAACAAAAGGCACATCTCAATAGGTGGTCCAGGTAAGTCATGACATAGCAAAAGTGTGTGGGGGAGGAATGTAAGTCACTTATCAGCCAAAGCTAACTAACCCTGCTTTTAAGATGATGAAAAGCTGCTGCGTACCGTTTTTTGTTTGAACAATAGTAGGAGAAAATACCATCAAATTAAGTTTTACCAACTGCCCAAGGACCAGGTTAGACAAACCCCATGGAAAGCTGTGGGCTCCGGTTACTGGATACATTGTGTGTTCAAAGCGCTTCATCGCCGGCAAGCCGCTTACACTTGTTTGTTTCTAACTAGCTATGTGTATTGCATAAAGCTTGCTAGTTAGCTTGTAGGAAGGACTTGTGAGCTGTATCTGTCCAAATAACAGCTATTATATTCTTCTGCATTTGGAGAAAAAAAAAAAGTTCATTCAATAGAATGAAATAGGGAAAGTGTAGTACAAAAGTTAACAGGTATCAGAATAAAAACGTCAATAACAAAAATAAGTAGGTTTTGATATCGCCATAGGCTACTTTATTTGTTAGGGTTGTCTCCCCAGCTGGTCTCCGACACGTTGAAAGCAGACAAGAATAAACTTTTCTAAATACCTAGACCGTTCAAGGGCAGGCAAATATTTTTTTTTTTTTTTTTTAGGGGGTAGATCAGCTTTAATATTTCAGATACATTGATGGAAGTTACAATCTAATTGTCTGCATCACTTCCAATCCCCCATGTTTTTTTTCTCGCAAATATATATATACACAGTATCTCACAAAAGTGAGTACACCCCTCACATTTTTGTAAATATTTGAGTATATCTTTTCATGTGACAACACTGAAGAAATGACACTTTGCTACAATGTAAAGTAGTGAGTGTACAGCTTGTATAACAGTGTACATTTGCTGTCCCCTCAAAATAACTCAACACACAGCCATTAATGTCTAAACCGCTGGCAACAAAAGTGAGTACACCCCTAAGTGAAAATGTCCAAATTGGGCCCAATTAGCCATTTTCCCTCCCCGGTGTCATGTGACTCGTTAGTGTTACAAGGTCTCAGGTGTGAATGGGGAACAGGTGTGTTAAATTTGGTGTCATCGCTCTCACACTCCCTCATACTTGTCACTGGAAGTTCAACATGGCACCTCATGGCAAAGCACTCTGAGGATCTGAATAAAAGAATTGTTGCTCTACATAAAGATGGCCTGGGCTATAAGAAGATTGCCAAGACCCTGAAACTGAGCTGCAGCACGGTGGCCAAGACCATACAGCGGTTTAACAGGACAGGTTCCACTCAGAACAGGCCTCGACATGGTCGACCAAAGAAGTTGAGTGCACGTGCTCAGCGTCATGTCCAGAGGTTGTCTTTGGGAAATAGACGTATGAGTGCTGCCAGCATTGCTGCAGAGGTTGAAGGCGTGGGGGGGGGTCAGCCTGTCACTGCTCAGACCATACGCCGCACACTGCATCAAATTGGTCTGCATGGCTGTCGTCCCAGAAGGAAGCCTCTTCTAAAGATGATGCCCAAGAAAGCCCGCAAACAGTTTGCTGAAGACAAGCAGACTAAGGACATGGATTACTGGAACCATGTCCTGTGGTCTGCTGAAACCAAGATAAACTTATTTGGTTCAGATGGTTTCAAGCGTGTGTGGCGGCAACCAGGTGAGAAGTACAAAGACAAGTGTGTCTTGCCTACAGTCAAGCATGGTGGTGGGAGTGTCATGGTCTGGGGCTGCATGAGTGCTGCCGGCACTGGGGAGCTCCAGTTCATTGAGGGAACCATGAATGCCAACGTACTGTGACATACTGAAGCAGATCCCCTCCCTTCGGAGACTGGGCCGCAGGGCAGTATTCCAACATGATAACGACCCCAAACCCACCTCCAAGACGACCACTGCCTTGCTAAAGAAGCTGAGGGTAAAGGTGATGAACTGGCCAAGCATGTCTCCAGACCTAAACCCTATTGAGCATCTGTGGGGCATCCTCAAACGGAAGGTGGAGGAGTGCAAGGTCTCTAACATCCACCAGCTCTGTGATGTCGTCATGGAGGAATGGAAGAGGACTCCAGTGGCAACCTGTGAAGCTCTGGTGAACTACATGCCCAAGAGGGTTAAGGCAGTGCTGGAAGATGATGGTGGCCACACAAAATATTGACACTTTGGGCCCAATTTGGACATTTTCACTTAGTGGTTTAGACATTAATGGCTGTGTGTTGTGTTATTTTGAGGGGACAGCGAATTTACACTGTTATACAAGCTGTACACTCACTACTTTACATTGTAGCAAAGTGTCATTTCTTCAGTGTTGTCACATGAAAATATATACTCAAATATTTACAAAAATGTGAGGGGTGTACTCACCTTTGTGAGATACTGTGTATATATATATATACACACACATAACAAATGATCTAATGATTCTGTCTCTTCGCAGCAAAATCTGCAGAGCTGGGAAGATTGTATCCCCCATATAAATAACATTCTATTGGTAGCAAGAATTTTATATAATTTAAATTGAAAAATTCTAAGTTTTGAATCCGGCGTCGTTTTGCATATCAATTCATAAACACTATGCCATGGAATCGGTACGTCAAAAATCTCTTCCCAACTATTTTGCAATCTATATGGGACGGCTGTCAATCCTTTGGTCCTTAAATGAAACTGGTATACTT